CCATGCGTGAGTGGTCTCGCCTGTGCTTCAACGTCACCTCCGCCGAGGTTGAGCGTGCCAAGGCTCAGCTCAAGGCTTCCATCCTCCTCTCCCTTGACGGCACCACTGCCGTCGCCGAAGACATTGGTCGCCAGATCATCACCACTGGCCGCCGCCTCTCTCCCGAGGACATTGAGCGTACAATCGGCCAGATCAGCGAGAAGGATGTCATGGACTTCGCCAACCGCCGCATCTGGGATCAGGACGTCGCTGTCAGCGCCTTCGGCAGCGTTGAGGGTCTCCTCGACTACAACCGTATCCGTGCGGACACCACCCGTAACAGCCTGTAAATTTTAGGTTAGCAGGATTTCCGCGTCTCAGAGTTATGGCAATTGTTCCGTTTGATTTGGTGATTAATAGATAGAAGAGGTGGTAGTCGCTGAGGTAGCGTGTTTTGTACAGTACACAACTGTCACTGATATACTTAAAACTGTATTTCTTTTGTTCACGAGTTACCCGGTTCCTTCTTATATGGTCACGTATTGACGTAGAGAATCTTAGTAGAACCTGCGGCTAGCCGATGGGTATAGAAGTAGCATGCTTGCTAACGCATTTTATAGAAGTATGTAAGTAGCCCATTACGGAACATCGTCCAACATCTCTACCATGTTTGTTCTTAATAGTAGTAAAACAGACAGAGACTCGATTGAAATCTTATAATGCAACAATCGATCCCTAATCTCATTATTCACCATCGCCACCATAGAAATATCAAAAAAAAAAAAAAAAAAAAAAAAAAAACCCAACGAGAGAACAAAATCCAAGCAGTAGGGGAATCAAAACAGGCCCATCCACAGGTCCACAACCCAAAGCCATCAACACATACCAAAAAAAGAAAAAGAAAGGAAAAATTAAGATTAGACAAGAAAAAGCGCAAGAAACCAAAAGCCCCATTTCCCCTCAGAATATATAATAAATCCGAAAAAAAAAATTATTGAGGAGTATACGCCATACCCGCCGGAGCCTGGTACCCCGTCTGGGGACGTTCACTCTGCGCTTCGATCTCTTTCTCATGCTGCATGATCACACAGCACGGACACCAGTAGGACGAGCAGCAGTCGCTGACGCCCGAGCCCTCGATGCCGAAGCGTTCCCGGATCTGTCCACGGCGGATCATGAGAAGAACCCAGTGGAAGCCTACTTGGGCTGTTAGGTAGTAGAGACAGCACTATTTTTGGTTAGTTTTGTGGTTTGGGCGTGGATGTATATATGTATGGATGAATGTATGTATGTATGCAAATATGTACGTACATTGCCGTTCATGTAGCTATATTCTTTAAGTTGGGGGTCTTCGAGTCGAGATTGCGTTTTACCGAAGAGACAGCAGGGGAGACAGCAGCCCCAGAAGCCTGGGTTCGGTATATGTTAGCTTTCGTGGTGTTTATATAGGTAGTAAGTGGGGGGGGGGGGTGCATCTGGGGATCTGGGAGAGGGAAGCGTACAGGTTCCTGCGGGAGAGCAGCAGTCCCAGAAGCCGTTGGACCATTCATTTTGCTGCTGGACGGCGGGAGATTCGGACTCTGGGGCACCCATTGTTTTTCCTTTTGGTTTTTGGGTGGTTGGTGGCGTGAATAGTATGAGAGGTGGGTAGTATTAGGTATAAATCGATGGGAGGGAGGGACTAGGTATAAGTATATAGAAACGAGTGTTGAGAGGATGAATGAAAGAATGAATAAATGGAGCTATGTGATTTATTAGGGACTAGGAATTACTTAAAAGACCTTATATACTCTGCAGCTCGTTTCCCTTTTAGCTAGGAAAAAAAAAAAAAATTCAGCACGGACATCGGCCCTTGATGTACCCATTTTACAAGTCTTAAAAGGTTGAGATTAATAGAGCCCTATTATTTATTGTGGATCTTCTCTAGGCAAATAGGCAGAGACGTATGATCGACATGGTTTTGGACGGGTTGAGAACCGTCTCATTTCCATAAAGACACACTTTTATATAATAATCGCCTAGGAAAAAGCACATGAAACTGTGAAAGAATCGAGGGAGACACGGTTGAAGGTGAAGGAGCCAAGACGAAAACCCACGGAGCGAAATAATGAAGATTGACATAGGGTCTTGCTTGGAATGCGATGGAGGAACGCTAATCCTCGTGTCTTGGGGTCTAGTTAACGTTCTGAGAGGTTCAGCTTGGGTCCATCGATGGCGTTGCTATTTAGCCCCCCCTGGTAAAGTTGAAATACGAGCCTCACCGGGTCGATCAGTTGATATTGGGTTACTAGTTCTGTGAATTTCGGTTGTTGGCTCGTGTTTTACGAAAAGATCGATTTTTTTTTTTTTTTTTTGGAAACTTGGATTGAGGGTTGGATCGTGACATAGACAGCTATGTAGACGAGTTTACATCACTAATAGAATGCAACCTGTCGCTAAGAGTAACAAACTCTTAGATAAGATTGTGGGCCGTTCAACGGGTCTTATTATTGGGAAATTAATGACCTCAAGAACCTCAAGGACATCTGTTGTTCTCCTTGCAGTAGACCGAAGCTTGTTTAATACTTGAGGAACTGTTTCCTCCCTTTGAAACAGTATTCTCACTCTTCTTTTCCCCTCCATGTTTTTGAGCCTCTATGTAGGGACCGTTTCGTGCCTGGCAGCTTGTGTGTTTAAAGGAGAGTGCTAGTGCCTGCCGGGTGGGTACTCGCTTGGCAATCTTAAGAAACATTAATCAATTTAAAGTGTGTTGCCCCTGATTATTCTATTTGGGCTTCTTTCACTTGAGAGATACTGAAAGATACCGAACGAAACCGCTGGATGAATGCTGGGTATTCGGAATGGGTGTCTTGAGCGAACTACTCCATTGCTGTAGACAGGAAATTTCGTTGATCCCGCAGAGCACCATCTTCATTGAAAGGATGTATATCGAGTGGCGCATTTGAATCTATATAGCCTGTGTTACCGATATCTAGTTGAACCAAATAGTGGTTGGTATGTCCTTTAAATGGGCCACATGCTCCGTTTCATCAAGCTGTCATCCATATATTGCTGCCGTCCTGGTGCTGACTAGCATTGCTCGTAATCGTACTTGATATGTGATATTCTCCGGGGTGCAACCGCCATTCGCTTTAAAGGGACACTTCGATTCAACCTCGAGTAAAGCAACGGGCGGTCAATGATTTCTAGACACAAAGTTTCTGGCTTGACTTGCAAGGTGGTTTCACTTAGAAATAAGTAGTCAGGATGATAAGGAAGCCGACAATGCAGTCTGAATGATTTATTGTCTGCCACGCGTAGTCTCAGTACCTAGTGTGCAAATCAGTAGCAAGGATCTACATGTTCTGTGTTATTGGACTGGAGCTAATCGGTAAACCAGAAGTGCGCTGCTCGCCGGCGAGAATGAGCGTTGTCAAGCTGCCTTCAGCTGGACAGGAGATTCAAGAGTAAGATGGCGGCGTCTTGGATCATTGTAGGCATTCACCAAATATCATCTTATTCATTGCTCTTCATCGGAGTAGTAGGTATTGATATATCAATACGAATACTGGCGTTGAACGCTCGGGGCAACCCTAAAAGGCCGAGGATTCCAAGAAAGCACTTGGACTGAACCTCTAAGCTCTAGAAGGGGTTCATTGTCGAAGAAATTGAAAACGTACCGGTCGATATAAGTCTTGCACTAGTAGTGATTCCATCCATTGCGAAAATATTGCCGGGATCTCTATTAATTACAGAACGTCGATAATATTGAGTGGCAACCTATTTGGAGGGAATAACAGTCTCAGTCTTACGTTGGCTCGTAAGATAACCTTTGCCTTCTCAGAAACAGCATATGTGGGACATCATCGCATGGGGCAATCGACCAGGGATTGGAATAGCAGAAAATCGCAGTTCTCTGTCGCACAGCCCGGCATGACGGATATATAGAGCTCTCTTAAATCCATATCGCTAGTGTCTCACAGGTCAAAATTGACTCAGGCATAGTAGATAGCATTCTCGATATAGAAGTGTCTCCGCTGACTTCACTTTGTCCTTTGGTGTACCAGGCGATATATAGAGATTAGGGAAGGTATTGTATTGTAAAATGGTTCGGTTCGGCTGGCAGTCGCAGGGAAAACAGTGGAGACTAGGATATGGATGGTTGTGAAAAGTTGCTTTGAACATCATAAAGATGCTGTACCCAAGGGCAATTGATTGCTTGCTGTATTATTCTAACGACCGTTTGTGATATCGACTGACAGTCTGTCGCGTGGGGCGACTTTTCTAAATACTATAACGTTAAACAGATTTGACGTCACGTAGAGTACTCAGACTGTCGCAGAATGGATTTTCCCGCTGATTGTTGACTTTGCATGTGCCATCTATGTCGAGTGCCAGTTGCAATAAGACCTCTGGATGAGCTGGCGATTATCGCTGGCCGTTAAACCTTACCCATCGCTTTGCCATGCGTTCTCATCATCTGGCGTAGCCAGTGATATGTAATGATGGGTGGATAAGATGGTCAGTATATGGGTATCAGGAACATGGTATGCTGCTCGTCAAGCTCCCTATATTGTGACCAAAAAACTTAGCCAACAGGTTGTGTACCGACGGGATAAAACTATTCACTGGCTCTTTCCAACGCGGTAGCTCATTATAAGCTTCTGTGAAGTCAATGTGTTCCCTGGAACATGTTTCAAGTTTAGTAAATGGCGCAGGGCCTATATTGGAAACACTATGGCACGGAAATAGAAGGGTGATATCGCACGAGCTATATTAGGTCAATGGAAGGAGAGGAGAATTAGATCGGGAACCCGGGACGGCAGTTGGAACCACCGCAGGAACCGATAATGTGGGGAAATTTGGTCGGGAAAGTTCCCCAGAATTTCCTTTGACGCTTGCGCTTTCCGTATTTAGATCGTTGCCAGGCCCCAAGGCGCCCCGTCCTTGCGAAAATGTGATTATCTTGACTCTTGCTTTTCAACGCTCCTGACGATGGACGACGACGGTTCTCCAACCAAAACCGCCCCTAAGTTTACGAGATGCAGGACCGGGTGTTTACGGTGTCGAAAGCGACGCCGGAAATGTGAGTAACATTATCTTTCCTTCGGAGAATAGATCGTCTGTGTAGCGCGGCACTAATTGAAACTGCCTCAAATTTCAGGCGATGAAGGGAAACCGCGCTGCCAAAATTGTATCGACAAGAACCTAGATTGTCAATATGGATTGCAAGTTAGCTTCTTGCAGAAGAATACTTTCACGGTCACCGCAAGTGAACTGCGCACGCCCAAGCCTGAAGTTAACTATGACAAGATCAAAGTGGGTAGTGCCTTTTGCTTTCTAAGATTGAACTGCATTTCTCCAAGTGGGTAACTATCCGCTGTACATGCATACTAATTCTTGAGTTTAGTTTGTCCAGGAAGATCCACTGGGCTGTACCACGGATGCTTCCGTGGAGGATTCGCCATCCCCCGTTGCCAGCATTCCAGAGACACATCCCCAGAGGGATCGTATAGATAGTGCAGTAGTCCTCACCGGTGAGAGGAAAGATAGTGATAGAAAGGATAACCGAATTGACTTGAATGGGCATTATGGTGATGGGGGTAGTATTCATCATGATACTTTGGACTTATCACACTGGGATGGAGGCCTGAACATATCGCCAGATGGAACTCCTCACCAGGACAAGGATGATGCTGTCCAAGGCCTGCTAGCTCTAGGAGCAACAGCTGGACCGAACGGTGTTGTACCGGAGTCGAACAATTTGTCGCTGCTCAGTCCCAATGTCGCAATATCGTCGCTGATGAATCCCCAGCCCTCGGAGGTAAAGGAGCTTGCACTGCCAACAGTACCTACCGGACTTTTGGACGATCCCGGACATACGAGTATTACGGAACTGTCTACCTCTATAACTATGAGTACCGGCATTGAATCGGAATCTCGCAAGCTGGAACTTCTCCGTCATTACCGGTACCATGTTGCTACTTGGGTAAGGGCATTCTTGTTTGCCAATTTCAAATATAAGCTTTTCTGATTGCTCTTCTTTGACAATTATAGCTTGACATTTGCGATTTGAGACACCCATTCGGAATTAATGTAATTCAAATGGCAACGAGATCCGAAAAACTTCTCTCTGCGATATTAGCACTTTCAGAAACGTGCATCAATCAACGGGATCGCTGGAACAGAGCAGGTCTTGAGCAGCTGACCCTTCGAAAGGGCAACCTATTAGACCAACTGGACCATGATCATCCTGACTTCACGGAGCTTATACTGCTATGCCTTCTCGAAGAAGTTCGAGGTCTAGTCACAGATATTCCAAAAGCTTGGGTCGACTGGGTGAATAGAGATGTCCCCTTTGTAAATCACTTGGTTCAGCATGCTTACAGTAAGCACATTGAGTCGACCGCTTACTGGATGTTTTTACGTATAGGTACATTTGACGCTATCCTTTCTACCATATTGATATTTACACTAGCTAACATGATACCTATCAGACTTAGGAGTGGCGCTCGCTAACGATATCCCCCTTCGAACCCCCCTCCCGATGCTCCCGATCCCTAGCTTAATATTGTTATCTCGCACCGAGGATGTATGTGAAAGGGTTAGCCATTATACCAACGCTGTTTTGTGGTTATGTGGGAAAGCTTTGGCCTTATGCCATCAAGAAGCTATACCACAACCTCTTGCGACTTCGCATGAGGTGACGGAAAGTTGGTTGCAAGCTTTTGGGGAGCTTGAGCAATGGCACCATTTGCGCCCACTAGAATTCGAACCAATGGTGGAGATAGACGCGAGAGACCAAGTACTCAATCAAGGGAGCGAATTCCCCTTGCTTCTATTCGCAAACGGATCTGGAACTTTCAGTAACCAGATATACCATACTGCAATGCTGTTGTTGCTCCAATGTAAGCCACGAACTGCACTGCTAAATCATCCGCAGTCTCCAGTCCTATCTCCTTTGTGGCACGCATACCGTATTTGCGGTATTTCGCTGAATAATGATACTCGTGAAAGCTGGGACCCGTGCTTGCTTGCCTCTCTCCTTCTTGCAGCGAAGCACATGACGCACGAATCGCAACAGCAGGAAATCTTGAAAGGCTTTAATCGCATTCGTGAAATTACCGGTTGGGATACCGGTGAATATCTGAGCCAACTCCGAGAGGAATGGTCGTTTCTCGACGGTATTTGAAAAGTGTCTGGCTAGAGCATACAATCATGATTAGACGAGTGGCGGTTCACGGGTAGTGGAGAACTGTTGATCATGATCGTTTGATGTTCGTCGGCGGGTACTATAGCCCCAAGCAATATCCAGATCTCGAATCCGCCAACACGTCCCCCATCCTGTTTCAGCTTCAATATCTCGGATCAGCTTTGTGATCTCCTTATGCTCCGACGCATGACTAAACAGCCGCCCTGCAATCCACAGAGGCTGTAAGGCGTTATTGAGGCACCCCTGATGCGGGTTTGCCAGAGAGATACCACAGATTCGTCGTGCATGCCACAACATGGACAAACTGGGTGATCGTGGCAATCTGATCCCCTTCGGCATCATCTTGAGTAACAGGAGGCATGCCGTATGGTAAAGCTGGTTGGAAGAAATGGCAGCCCACTGAACAAACAAAATATGTGGAAAGGGCTTACGGTTGACCGTCTGGACTGGCAGCAATTCGCTCGGCCGTTCCGAAAACCATCGTTGTAGGTCGTCCCATAACCGAACCCAACGCAAGCAGAATGTTTCCAGGTTACAGCCGTTCTGTTCATGCAACTCCACAAATTTCGTGCGATCTGAGACGAGTTGAGTTGCTCTCATACAGAGATACACAGCATAATTGGCATGCATGTCAGGCGATTTCGTATCCTGGAACAATTGATATGCATCCTCTTCTTGGTAGCCCGGGGGAAGCCACTTGGAAGGATGCAGAAGCGTAGTTTGGGTACCATCCGAGATGAGTGCACCACAAAGATCTGAGTATACGATTAGACTTGTGCATAATAAAATCCTCATGTACTTTTGAGATAAGGGACAGCAAATCTTACCCATCCTCGCATAGCACCAGAACACAGCTTGAAGTAACCCGTTGCTAAATCCGTGAATCTCGAAGGCATCAAATAAAGCAGCACAGCCCTCGAGATGACGGCGCCAATCCTGCGCTCGGGCGGACATCATCTCCAAACAGCAAAGCAGCACACATGCGGCTACAATCTTCGGATCGCGCACCTGTAGTACCGGGCTTAGGAGCCTTATTGCTTCCTGGTATAGCTCAAGGCTATCGAATAAGTCCTGAACACCCTCTTTACGTTCCATATGCCGTGCCGAGAAGGCAAGAATGGCGTAAGACAGAGCGGGAAATGTCCGCGCTAGAGCCGGAAGCTGCTGACGGAACGTGCATTGCGAGTCGAACATGTCCAGCTACCGTGTGTCAATAAACAAAGGAAATAGACCATATATGATGCACAGGGTGCACTTACCCATGGAGCCACCTCTGTCACGTAGTTCTTCAGATATTTGATACGTTTGCTATTTGAAAAAGGCGATCGGTGAGACTCTTCCCGCTGCCTTTCCCGGTGAGATTGGGACATCATGTCAATGCCTAGTCGATCCGTCCCTCTGTCACCGAGCCTATCTAATATCCCGGCATCGGGGCTTGGTGCTCGCGTTGGAGCAGCGGAATAAGCTAACGAGAAAAGGATACATCGTAGTTCTTCCTGGGAGGCGAGGAAACCTGGATCTTGAGAGAAGCCATCCTGATACCAACTTCCGGGAGACTGAAATGGCCCTCCCGATGCGGGTGAACTGTGACTGATGCCATTGTAGCTCTGCGGAGGGAGTGGTTGAGACTCCTGATAATCAATTGGATTTGGGTGAGTTATCTCATTTGCACCCGGTGACGGTTCTTCCTCCGCGGGCAGTGGATGTTTCGAGGCGGTGCTCGAGACTCGCCGGCGCTTCAGAGGCGGCTCAGCGGAAAACATTGCTCAATTTGATCGTTGTCTCTCACGATAAGGGCACCTCTTTTTTTTTTTTTTTTTGTCTGGTATTGAACAAAGACGGGCCAAGACCCCGATAATAATTGGGGTAGGCTTTGGAATTGGCGTTGGGATCTTCGGGAAGAAGAGTTGATTGGGTAAATTGTTCCTGAGCCGAAGACCGCCTATCAATTAACAACTTGGGCCACTCGGCTAAAGAACAACTTGCCCTCTTGCCTTTACTTCCCCTTAATCGGCAGTCAAGAAGGCGCCAAGATCGATGCTTTCTTTATCTGATTCCTTTGATTCGGCTAGACAGACGAGCCTTTTCCGTGGATTGTATGGTACGATGGCGACGTTACCTTCGATAGCCTTGATTCTTTCCACCAATGGGCTCCACATTGATCTGAAAAGCTGGGGAAAAAGTCCGTGTTGGGGATTGGCGAAGGTGATGACGTCCAAAAAGGCGAGTAGAGGCAATTTTGAGGGCGAAGATCCCCCGTTTTGAGGTTAGATCCTTGCGGGGTAGGGCCACTTTCTGGGGTAACGGGTGGCTCCGATTGCCTCTTTAGGCTGGTCGGCTCTTCTGCATTCGGGGTAGTTTTTTGCCGACTGGTCAAGTTACACTTACAGGTGACATGATGACTCGTATACATGACTTTGCGCCATGTTTGGCACATGCATTGTGATCATGTATAAATCTTATCTACCCCGGGCTGTGCGTCGTCATGTCTCCATCTGGTCCACTTCCCCAGAATTTCTATCTTAGACTATCCCCATATTAGACCCACGCGATATTGCGAGACACAATGGTGCAGGTCAATCTGTTTGGCACGGGGTTCACCCTCCAAGCCGCCATTTGGGCGGCTTGTGGAATGGCATTTATTCTCTTCGGTAACCGACTCAATCGCTGACGAAACTTCATGGATGGAATTGTTGACCCTCGCAGGATACGATCAAGGTGTTTTCTCCGGAATTGTTGAGAACGAAGACTTCCTCGACACCATGGGTAACCCAGGAGACAGCTTGATGGGGATCATTGTTTCCATATACAACTTAGGATGCTTTACTGGTTGCATTGTGAACTTCCTAGTAGGCGATTGGCTTGGACGGAGGAAAGCAATGTGGCTTGCGATGGTTTGGGTGATTGTGAGTTCTCGGGGAGATTAGATGGTGATAGGTCAATTGCTGACTTGTAAACCTCGCCTCCAGATCGGTGCCACCTTGCAAACATCTGCCTTCTCCGTTCCGCACTTGATGGTTGGTCGCTTCGTGACGGGTATCGGCACTGGGATTGAGACCTCTACTGTGCCAATGTATCAAGCAGAGCTCTGCGAGGCATCCAAGCGTGGTAAACTCGTCTGCAGCGAGCCTCTACTAGTGGGTGTGGGTATTGTCATCAGGTATTACGGTTTTATACCACGTTGTACGACCTATGCTCACAATTTATAGTTACTTTTTCGACTATGGAATGAGCTTTGTCGGAGGGCAAATTGCTTGGAGATTACCGATCGCGTGTCAGATGATTTTTGGATTTGTTCGTATTTTTTGCTTCAACTGTGGTAGAAGTATTCTAACAGCTTCAAGGTCGTCATTATACTCGTTTTCGGCCTCCCCGAGTCTCCGAGGTATTGCTACAAGGAAGGACGTGATGACGAAGCGTTGCAGATTCTGAGTGATGTGTACGGTCGACCAAAAGACGACGCGAAGATTCTCGCCGAGCAGGCCGAGATCCTCGAGGCTCTTGCTATTGAGACCAAACATGGAGAGTACAAGTGGAGGTGAATCTCCCTCCTCCAACCCCACTTCCTGAGAATTAGAAGCTCACCAACAATAGAAATATCCTCAAGCGCGACGAAGTTTGCACAGGCCAAAGAGTGTACGTATATTCTTCAATCTCACTCCAGCACCTATCTAAACAAAGGATACAGTCTCCTCGGCTATGGAATGCAATTCATGAACCAGCTCGGTGGTATCAACCTTCTAGTGTACGCTTTACGTTCCCCCATTTAGATCCCGACTAACATCTGTAGATACTTCATCCCGACGGTCCTTAACACCAATGTTGGCCTTAGCAAGAACCTCTCAATGATTGTCGGAGGGTGCGCTCAGGTCATGTTTGTCGTTGGTAGCTTCTTCCCTACCTTCTTCGTCGATAGAGTAGGCCGCAGAACGCCCATGATGTGGGGATCCTTCGGCCTCGGGATCTGCATGATGATGGTTTCAATCCTTCTTAGCTTCAAGGGCAAGGAAAATGATCACGCTACCTCATCGGCATCGGTTGCCTTCTTCTTCCTCTTCATGCTTATCTTCGGAGCATCAGTCAACTGCATTCCATGGGTCTATGTACCGGAGATCTTGCCACTGCATGCTAGAGCTAAGGGAACGGCGGTGGGAATTTCTTCAAATTGGATCTGGGTAAGTCCATCTGCGTTTTACCTGGTTTATTGAAAGAGAAGGAAGTTACTAATAAGTAATAGAATTTCTTCGTCGTCATGATCACACCCGTGATTATAAACCGTCTCCAGTGGAAGGCATATCTGATTTTCATGTGCACCAACTTTGCATTTGTGCCCCTTGTTTACTTCTGCTACCCCGAAACGGCCAAGCTGAGTCTCGAAGAGATTGATTACCTTTTCACACAACCGGACAAGAGCGCCGTGAAACTTTCTTTGGAGCTCCAGAAGGAGCGGAAGATGCATGGGCATGGCGCCAGTCTTGTCGCGGATACTGGGGTCCTGAGACGTACAAGCGTGGTGGCCGATGAGGGCTTAGAGAAACATCACGGTGTTGATGAACACGTTGAAAAGGTTTAAATTATGAATTTTTCTTTACGACTTTACGATGGCTGAGGAAATGTCTCGACTTTTGCTAATGGGATGAATGATTTTTGTCAGATTTATTTTAGATCTTGACCTGTACATTTGTATTTGAAGAACGCTAAGCGAAGAGTTTACTTGTACATTCTAGTACTATTGCAAGACCTTTTTTAGGCATGTATGAGATCCGTTGAATAAGTCATTAGCTAATTCTAGGAGCAATGTACCCTGTTCTTAGCTGTCCTAAAATATAGTAGAAGGAGTTTTTTGCTGTGTCATAATTGATGTGCACTGCAGTCATCGTCCCAGTCTTTATTGTCGTCCGTGCTCTTTAGTACCCATTGCATCTTGTAGTTTGAAATACCGCAAACCAAGTCAGATGGGTCCTAAGCTCGTGTAGCTCGACAACGACGCATCAGACAGTCCAATATCATGCAAAGGTAGATTTGCATTTGATCAGAGCCCCAGGTGAGAACTGTAAGGGAAGGGCGCGATATATGTGCGATATGCCCTAGCGTGGGAGGCTCCTCGTATAATCCGGCTACCAAGCAGTAGCAATCGCTTAGCACATCTCGACCAGCCAGGAACATATATAGAAACCGAAAAATGTGGCGCCGACAGAAGTAATAAATCAAAGAACGGCGAAAAGTAGACATTGAATGAAACAATCAAGAGTATGGCGGAGGAGAGACATCAGAATCCGACCGGCTTGTCTCGGATGTTATTTTGCTGTCATTTTTCTCCTTGACGTCTTTCTCGTCAACCATAGCAGCAGGAGTCGCCATCATGTGTTTCGTCTCGCCGCAAATCGAACCACTCTCCACGTCACTATCACCCTGCAGGATTTGTTCTTTGCCAGAATCGACCTGATCCGTCCGCCGAGTGACCTTGCGTGTCCGGCAACACCACGCAATACCCAAGATAGTTGTCGCGAACCATAGCACCATACTGACCAGACTAATCCAGACAGCGGCACGCATGCGGGGTATCGACGACGTCGCTTTTTCATACTCATCCAGTACATTGTTGGAGATATATATCGTCCCGAACGTGCCTACCTGGGCTAGCCAGAGGACGAAGATCACAAAATCCCAAGCTGACCATGCGACGTGAACTACGGTAACGAAACAATGCACAATGCAGGTGAGTGCGGTGACTGCAGCGACGAATTCGGCGTACACCCATTGCGAAGGGGCACTGGCGTTAATCTCTGTTGCGTGGGCTAAGTCGACGCCGTAGAGACCGGCAATCACGATGGCAAAGACGAATTGGAGGGTGCGGAGGGCGGCGCGGGAGATGACGCCGCAGAGGCCTCCTTTGTGCCAATATTGTTCGATCATTGGGGTTGTGGATTTTGTCATTTTGGGGATGGAGAAAGTATAGAAATTAAAGTCACTAGCTGTGTCTTATGGGATCAGGAAATGAAGGAGGGTCCTAATCAGTTATATCTAGGGGGCTTAGTGCGCTTTATAGTAGATTCGTGGAGTGGTAGGTAGGGTCCAAAGGGCTAAGACTATACTACTGAGGCGAAGACTATAGAATTGGAAATGTGGACCGCTGAGAGTGTTTGAGATGCATATCATTTCCTTCTGGCAGTGTTTGTAGTTCCACTTACAGAATCTTTTTCGCGCTCTCCCATGGTACGTTCCGATTCGGGGGACGGTCTATTTTAGGGTTGACTTCCTGAATAGGCGATTTTCGCGTATTCGTATGATTTCCACCACCCTTCCGCAGCGGGAGCTAACCGTGTTAGGAATTTCCATCGTGTTCGTATGTATCGAAAGTACCCACTCCGAAGGACATCCATTTTAAGTATCTTTCTCTGACTCCGAGGTGTGGCCGACTGCATCAGATAGTTTGCTGTTTTGTCCATGGCTCTCAATCATGATTGGATCGTGCTTTCTCCTGCTTTCTTTCTTATTTTTTCTTCCCCTTTATAATTAAAGTTTTTCTCTCGACCCGTTTTTACTCTTATCCTTCACAACGGTACCCTAAATGCAGTTAAAATTAGAACAAGTTAGATCTGCGAAGACTGACACAACTGTTTTGGCACTCTTCCTAGTCATTCATCATGGCTGACATGAGATGTTTCGCCGCTGAAGATGGCAGCTGGGAGCTCCCTCCACCGTACGAGTCTATCTCGTCCTCAGGGGGCGATCCGACAGGGAATCATACAGCGGCTCATCCTGTGGTCTTTCCACTATCCGACGATTCTTTCCCAGAGCTATTGCCGACGAATGATGGTCGTGTAGATGTTCATATCGGATCGCGGTTCAGTCGCAATCTGGAATGGCTTATGGGAAACCAAGCCGCCGAGGCACCTCAGACAGAGAGAGAAGCAGCTCCATCCGTACCATATCCTGCCTGGGATCTGCATCTCAACGTCGTGATCCAAGTTGTAGGTAGCCGTGGTGATGTCCAACCCTTTGTCGCCTTGGGCAAGGAATTGCAGAAGTACGGCCACCGTGTGCGGCTGGCCACGCATGCCAAATTCGAGCAATTCGTCAGGACCGCCGGCCTTGAATTCTATCCCATTGGAGGCGATCCTGTCGAGCTGATGTCCTATATGGTGCGCAACCCTGGACTCATTCCAAGCATAAAAAGCCTGCGGGCAGGCGATATCCAGCGGAAGCGGGCCTCGATAGCGGAGATTTTAGACGGCTGCTGGCGGTCGTGTATAGAACCGGACCCATATGATAAGACCCCATTCGTGGCGGATGCCATAATTGCAAACCCGCCGAGTTTTGCCCATATCCACTGTGCGCAGGCGCTTGGCATTCCCGTCCATCTCATGTTCACGATGCCTTGGACGAGCACTAGGGCCTTTCATCATCCGCTCGCGAACTTAAAGTATTCGGGTAACGACCCGTCGCTGGGGAATTTGGTTTCTTATCATTTTGTGGAGTGGTTGACGTGGCAAGGGTTTGTCTTCCTTTTTTTCATTTTTCACTTTCGCGTTGCTTTATGGTTTCGTCTTTTCTCCACTGGTGGAGACGACTCTCGGCTGATAGATCTTAGTCTAGGGGATTTGGTCAATGCCTGGCGCAGGAATGTACTGGGCCTAGATCCCGTCCCCACCACAGAGGGACCAAACCTCGTAGAAGCGCTCAATGTGCCATTCACATACTGCTGGTCTCCCGCATTGATCCCGAAGCCCAAGGACTGGGCATCTCATATAGGTGAAGATGATACCCCCACCCGGACGTAATATTGGCTAACTTTGCAGACGTCTGTGGATTCTTCTTTCGTGATCCACCGGCCTACGAACCGCCAGCGGAACTTGACGCCTTCCTGCTTGCTGGTCCGCCACCAGTCTATATCGGTTTCGGTAGCATCGTCCTTGAGGATGTAGAAAAGACGCTGTCCATCCTACTTGATGCTATTCAAGAGACCGGAGTACGGGCCATAATATCCTGTGGCTGGAGCAATTTAGAACGCCGAGAGACTCCCAACGTTTACTATATTGGCGACTGTCCGCACGAGTGGCTCTTCCAGCATGTTGCCGCTGTTGTTCATCACGGCGGTGCGGGAACAACAGCCTGCGGCCTGCGGAATGGAAAACCGACTGTCATCGTCCCCTTCTTTGGAGAGTAAGTATTGTGTTACTCTCTACGTGGAAGCTCTCAGGTCTTTTGACACTAACCAGCTTCGCGCTACAGCCAACCATTTTGGGGTAATATGATTGCCGCCGTGGGAGCCGGTCCGGAGCCAATTCCCCACAAGAACCTCACCGCACGGAAGCTGGCTGACGCCATCACCTATTGCTTAACCCCGCAGGCTGCTGCTGTGGTGCGGGGTATAGCGGACAGGATGCGCCAGGAGTGCGGTGTTCGTGCGGCAGTTGACTCGTTCCACGCGCATCTCCCGCGGCATAAGATGCAGTGTGATCTTATACCGAGCGAACCAGCAGTCTGGTATTTTAAGACAGGAAAACGAACAGTCAAGCTGTCCAAAGTGGCTGCGTGGACCCTGAAGCGCCAGGGACGTATCCAGGGAAACCATCTTAAACTGTGCGTCAGGCCCTGAGCATACAAGTGTAGGCTCGAACATAGGAAGACTTCATTGTGGCTAACTCATTCATGATGAACATAACCAGATACCAAACAAAGCCATTTACCATCGATGTTCGTCGATGGGACCCCTTTACGGCCATTTCATCGGCTTCGCTATCTACCCTCACCGGCATGGCCGATGCCACAGCAGGGATCTTTATCGATCCATATAAGGAATACAAGCGTCTCCGAAAGTCTGACCGCAATCGTGACGCCTCCAACCCTGCCAACGTTCCACACCCCCCACTCTCTGCATCTGAGACACTATCCACGACTGAACTAGCATTAATAACACGGACGCACTCGCACATCTTGGACACTGAACTTAGTTCTGATGACCCAGACTACGCGCGGCACATGGCTATTGCATCAGCTACCAGCTTAGGAATCTTTCTCGGCCGGTCCTCTCGCGGCGCCCTGGTAGATCTACCTCTTGCAGCCGTCGAAGGCATGCGGGCTGTGCCCCGACTGTATGGCGAAAAGGTACGTGTGCACGACCCGGTGAGGGACTGGAAGAGTGGTGCGGGTGTGGCGTGGTCGACCTTCTCTCACGGCTTGTACGAGGGTGTCACCGATATCTTCGTGCACACATATCAGGGAAAGAAGAAGCAGGGCGCTCTTGGAGTGGCTAAGGGCTTGACCAAGGGTCTAGTCAGCTTGACAGTTAAGACCGGGGCGGCAACGGTTGGTCTTATCGCGTATCCAAATCAGGGGATCTATCGCTCGCTGATGAGTACCGTACGGAAACGACCAGCAAAGAGGATTGAGGAAGCAAGATGGACAGAGGCGGAATGGATCACTAGGGCGGAGGGTGGTATGCAGATAGAAGCACCGGGGTTGTGTTGGTTGTATGAAGAGTTGTTGTCTACCAGGGAGATAGCCCGAAGAGGGCGGTAATATCTAGACTTGTGGCTAGTAATGTACATATGATAATTTATAATAAGCTATACAATCTATTAGGTCGTATGTAGACTTCTCCATTCACCTATCTTGCCACAACAGTTACGCAACTATACAGACAGGATATACCCATTTTCTTCAGTTGACTAACAGTCGTGGACCACTATATGGTTACGGTAGGCTCGGTGAGCCTTGGTCTCGCTGCTCAATTAAATATGAGCTTGCGTTGAACCAATAGATAACTTTAGTATCCTGCAGATTCAGCAAATGCATCTTCAAATTAGGCAACGTCGATCGGCATCCCGTTACATCGTAATAGCCTTCTGACCCACTGGTGGGCCCCTATGAGAGTGACAACACGAAAAAATCCCTCTTTAGGCATGAAGATTTCAGATCTTCGGATTACCTCCACTTGATACTACAGACTGTGGGTCAAGTATTATCGGTTATAGCGCGGATATTGAGTTCAATTTATTCCTTGTGTATGAAATTAGGGCTAGCTCATTGCTTTCTGCGGGCGTTGACCGGACTGGGGGAATATATTGTGTCCATTGACACAAATAAGCATGAAAATGTTGCACACTTTCATACCATGTAGGAATGATGAATGTCAAGAGGTGGACTAAAATACGTATTAAAATAGAAGTCTACCCCAGAATCCAACTGGGTGGGTCTCTCCACAGCCTTTCCTATTTGAGTTATTCTGCCGTATTCGTATACTGTACTATACCTACTATCTGAGGTGGGTGCCATGAAATCATCAGTGAAACGAAGATGCCTATCATTACCCACACCGGCCTTTATTATCTATATTCTTACACTTAATAATTGAATTCCGAGATAGAAGGATATGCGACCACATCCACCGGCCCACCAACGTCCTTGGTACCCCTTAACAGTGATTCGTAATCATCTATCATACAGGCGAGCCAGGTGTATATATAGTTTCCTTGCGCCGCCAATATGTGTTCATAATTCGACTCGAACAACGTCTCTTTGACTCATCATGCTCCCAGCCATGGTTTCGGCGCTGGCCCTGGCGGCTCCAGCACTTGCATCAGTGACTTGCAAGGTGACCCCATTGGACTCAGCTTGGCCTTCCAATTCAGACTGGGTATCTCTAAACGCCTCCATTGATGGTAGGCTTCTACACACTGTGCCCGTCGCCTCGTCATGCTGGCCGGGTAATCCGTTTGGATCATCCGTCTCTTGCGGCAACGTTCAGTCGAACTGGACCAACGGAATGTGGCTATCTAAATTTCCCGAATCAATCGATTACCCAATCTATGCGAACAATTCTTGCTTGCCCCCGAACGCTCCGGGCTACATGGAAGGAAGAGGCTGTACGACTGGAGGTTTGCCTGAGTACATCGTGAATGCGACCACCGAAGAGCAGATCGCAACGGCAATGCACTGGGCCTCGAAGCGGAACATTCGGATTGTGGTCAAGGGAACAGGTCATGATCTAAACGGAAGGTATGTATATTAGTGTTTTAGCATGGGTTTTGCTGACATGCTCTTTCAGATCCAGCGGTGCTTTTGCCCTATCTATCTGGACTCATAACTTGCGCAAGCTCGAGCGCAATAGGTCCTGGTTGCACCCTAGCAAAAACACCTTCGAGGACGTATTCATTGTGGGCAGTGGTCAACAATGGGGAAATGTACTCGACAAAGCCCTCGAGCACGGAAGAGTGGTTACCACTGGCCAAGATCCTAGTGTTGGACTAGGCGGTTACATTCAGGGTGGTGGTCATGGCCCCCTCTCCCGCACTTATGGCCTCGCATCTAGCCATGTTCTTCAGATGAGGGTCGTCACGACCGAAGGTAAGATTCTGATAGCCAACGACGCCGAAAACCAGGATCTGTTCTGGGCCCTTCGTGGAGGCGGTCCTGGTCTGTATGGGGTCGTCACAGAGTACGTTATCAGGCATCACCCGGCGCCCAGCAGTGTGACGATAGGCAATCTTTTGATTGCGCCTAAGGGAAGTAGCAACCGAAGTGCAGAATTGTCCTGGGATGCAGCTGTGACCCATCTCTCAGTTCTTCCGGACCTCATGGATGCCGGCTTGGCTGGAGCTTGTATGCTAGCGACAGGTCAAAGTGCCATGAGCTTTGCATCACTTTCAGAGCCCACGACTGGTGCTGTTATCCAGCAGGTCTTTTGGTCGTTCAACTCCACACCTTCGGCCATGGAGGCACTTGTCAAGCCTATTCTGTCAAACATCTCTCATGCGGCCGGTGGAAACAACAGTCTCTCCATTTCCTTCAGTGCTTCCTCCCAGAGTAACTACTCGTCTTTCTTCAGCGCCATTTCCGGTAGTGATGCAGCCGGCGGACAGAGCGTAGTGTCTAGCCGTTTGCTAGGACGGGCCGAGCTACTAGACACGCCTAGGCACAAAAGACGTGCCTACCTCAAGATAGCGATGTGCTCTCAAAATGAAACCGCCGGTACGTACGCGACAATTGGTCTACAAGGCGGCCCTGGGGTGCACAATACGCAAGAGGGAGAATGGGGTGCATTGCTTCCAGCCTGGCGCTCCGCCTATCTGCATTTCATTTCCAATGGTGCTACTGTTGACCCTATCGCTGCGGGATCGCCAAAGAAGGCGCTGGAAAATGCGGCACATTTTAACGAGGTTAAAGAAAAGATGTGGAGAGAGTGGTCGCCTAACTCGGGTGCCTATATGAACGAGGCGAACCCATTCACGAGCAACTTCAAGCAGGATTTCTATGGCTCAAACTATGACCGTCTGGCGAAGATCAAGGCTAAATACGACCCTAGCGAAAGCCTTTTTGTCCTCTCTGGCGTGGGAAGTGATAAGTGGCAGTATGACTTGGATACTGGCAAGTTGTGCAAAGCTGAATAAGACTTGTTGACTGGCTTAAGTAAGGCTATTTGCATTGTTGGCTGTGGATGGAGACCTGGAAGCTTCATTTGTGTTTGTAAATTAAGATCTGTATTGTGAGAACGGCTCAAACAAGCATCCACTGTAATATTTGGTTATTGAGATAATTGATTTCTCTCTCTCTCTCTATCTCTTCTTACATAGCACCCATTTGAATATCTTATCGAGCTATGTATAAAGAATGGTAAACCACGCACATTTTTGAGGGGGGCTACGAAAAGTGGTACATATACTTGTTGGTTGGTTGAAGGACCTACCTGAGAAACTTATGTAACGAATTCATACTCAATATTGCATCGTTGAGCTATTTGAATACAAATACCTGTACATAATCTGGTTGACAATGAGATAGGGGCTTCTGATATCAGCAGCCAGGCTAACTCAAAGTGTATAACATGATTATCTAACCCGGACCGAGGGATAATCCGGAGTGGGATGTTTTCTGGAGCTTCCGAAATCAAGCATTTGCGATAATCATTCCGCAGCGGAGAAATTCCCTGTAACTTTATTTGCTCTCTAAATTATCTCTTCCCTGCACCATGGGTAAGCGCGGAAAGAAGGTGAGAGACCCAATCTAGTCCAATTGATCTATTGCTCAAGATCTTTCATTCTCAATTTTACAGTAACTTACATTATGTGATGCAGGGACAGGGCGGCGGCCGTGGTGGCGGGCAGCGCCAAAGCTGGAATGATATCCCCAAAACGAACGAGAAGTTCGAACGCTTCTATAACGAGCAAGGGTTTATTCCCGAGGAAGAAAAGGAGCAATTCTGGGAGTACCTGCGGAAAGATCTCCCCAACAGTTTTCGCTTTACAGGGTCCCAAGGGTATGTTATCACAGATTCGCTCCGCGCATAACGCGCAAATTACCAAAACGGTTAAGATACTGATATGTGATCTGAAGACATGCCCTCGCGGTCCAGGAGCGCCTCAAAGAATTCTATATTCCCGAAATCACATCAATTAAGTATGAGGGCAACTTTGTCGAGCCACCGCGCCCGGTCTCGTGGTACCCTGACCAGCTCGCGTGGTCGATGACGACCCCTAAGCAGGTCGTTCGACGTTTCGCTCCATTCGCCAATTTCCAGAAGTTCCTCGTCGCCGAAACCGCGGTTGGAAGTATTAGCCGACAGGAAGTTGTTAGCATGATTCCTCCGCTCTTGCTTGATGTGAGGCCTGGCATGACTGTGTTGGACATGTGCGCCGCTCCGGGTAGCAAATCTGCACAGCTTATGGAGATGATCCACGCTGGAGAGGAAGAGTCGATGCTCCAGGTTTCCAAACAAGTGAAGGAAGGAACCGCTGGCCCTGAGCCTTTGGGACCCGAGGGCCTCAACGACGATGGTAGAACTACCGGTCTCCTCATCGCTAACGACACCGACTACAAGCGCGCGCACATGCTTATCCATCAGATGAAGCGACTCAGCTCCCCGAACTTGATCGTCACAAACCATGATGCCACGATGTACCCCTCCATCAAACTTCCCTCGCCTCCAGGACCCAGTGGAAAGGTCCAGAATAAATACCTCAAGTTCGACCGTATTCTCGCTGATGTACCGTGTACCGGTGATGGAACTCCCCGGAAGAATATTGGTGTTTGGAAGGAATGGACCCCAGGCAACGCTTTGGGACTGTACGCTACGCAAGTTCGTATTCTTGTGCGTGCCCTGCAGATGCTGAAGGTCGGTGGCCGTGTTGTGTATTCAACTTGCAGTATGAACCCTGTGGAGAATGAGGCTGTCGTTGCTAGCGCCATTGAGCGCTGCGGTGGTGCCGCCAATGTGCGGATTGTCGATTGCAGCAACGAGTTGCCAGGTTTGAAGAGAGTTCCCGGCTTAAAATCATGGAAGGTTATGGATCGCGACACAAGGATGTGGAACACCTGGGAGGAAATTGAGGAGCACCGGGCAAGCCAAGGTATCAGTGGCCTTGGCAGAGTCGCTGCAGGCATGTTCCCTCCCACTGGGGAGAACGCAGACCTACCTCTCGAAAGATGTATTCGCATCTACCCCCACCTTCAAGACACTGGTGGATTCTTCATCACTGTTCTGGAGAAGCTGTCGGAGATTCGCGCCAAGCCAGAAGACTCTTCGAAGGTCATTCCCAAGGGAACTGTTGCCGCACTCACTGAAGAGCTTGAATTCAAGCAGAAGAATGGCAATGGGCAACCATTGGAGAAAATTGATGCGTTGGATGATATGGTTACCCCTAATGAGAATGCTGCAGAGGAGGCTCAGAAGAACGCTACTGTCGCAGAGGCTACCCACCAGCCCCCTTACTCTGCTACCAACCAGATGTCCCCTGCAAAGAGGGATGCAGAGAGCATGGAGGATGAAATCCCTTCTAAGAGGACGAAACTTGACGATGGATCTGAAGTAGTTGTGGGTGATCGGCCCATCCACCAGCCGGCTCCCGTGATTGAGCCTGATAGTATGGATACATCCGATGCTACTTCCACGCCTGCACCGCCTCAGCAAGCAACGAGTGCAACTCAGGCTCCACCCCCACAGAAACGGAAACCAGGACAGCCGATCGAAGAACCTTTCAAGTATCTGGACCCTAACCATGAGGAGCTCCCACCCATTTTTGAATTCTACGAAGGATCAGACCGGTTCCCTAGAGATCGATTCATGGTCCGTAATGCACAGGCCATTCCAGCCAGAACTATCTACTATACTAGTGCTCTGGCGCGCGACATCTTGACCGCAAATGAGGGACAGGGCATGAAGATTGTCCACTGTGGTGTTAAGATGTTCGTGAAGCAAGACGTGCAGCGTCCGGGTGTTTGCCCTTGGCGTATCCAGACCGATGGATTGAGGGTCCTTGAGCCATGGCTGGGTCCCGGTAGAGCGGTTACCCTTAGGCGGAAGGAGACTTTGCGGAGACTTCTCGTGGAGATGTTCCCTAAGGTCGACGATGAGGGCTGGAAGGAGCTTGGAGAAATTGGCGAGCGCGTGAGGGATATCCCGATGGGCTGCAGTGTCCTGCACATCGAGCCTGATACTTCTGAGACTGGCTTCAGGTATGTTTGACTAGGTCTACAATGTTGTCATGAACAAGAATGAACTAACTATCTACTAGCGAGCGGATGGTCCTTCCCCTGTGGCGCTCCCTGCATTCCGTTAACCTCATGCTTCCCAAGGAGGAGCGTCGTGCTATGCTTCTTCGTATCTTCAACGATGATACCCCGCTTGTCAATATTACCCAGAAGCGCGCAAACGCCGACACACCCGCTTCGGCGACTCCGGTGGTTGAGACAACGGACGCCGATAACACTCCAGCTGCAGCCCCCGCTGAGGCGGAGGAAGCAGCAGTCAAGCATGAAAACGAGGTTCTGGGGCAAGATGAGCAGGAACATGCCGAAAGCCGTGAGACCTGGCAGAAAGTCGGTGACGAAGAAGATCGGTTCAACACGACTGTATAGTTTGTAATATGACTTGGGATCTATCGGGATGTGCATATATTTGGCAAAAGCATTGATTGTATCACGAAAAGACAGTGTTATTCACATACTTGCTTTGATTTTGGCTGTTACCTGGAGTAGGTTACATAGGCACATGTCTCTACTGGAGTTCCTTGTATAGCCAGTCTCGTAGAAAACCCCTTGAAGTAGATGCTTCTGATTCACTTCCCCGGCTTTTGAGCACCACATTCGTTCTTAGGGCAGGCCTGACTGAAATTTTAAGCCAGTCCCAACAGCCCCTTTGTTGTAAGCCTATATGAATAGAAGGTAGGCCGAGTTACTGGGGCGTTGAGGTCATATATCCAAAGGAGCAGCCGTGTTCCCTTTACATTGAAGTCTGTATATGTACATGTACAACACTGAGTACATTGCCAATACAATGAAAGGCCCTATGGAGCGCACAGACGACTACAGGACGGTTGGTAGTGCAGCAATTCCCAGTTCATCGATGGATTCATTTACATAAATAATTGACCGAATGTTACCCGGGAGCACAGAATTTACAAAGAAAGACTTTCAACAAGTTTGAACACCGTATGGCGCCCTTTTAAGAGAAGCCCCTTATGGGCGTTTAAGAAACATAAAGCACCTTGGCCAGGGCAAAGGCTCACTTCTTAGATACTACTGCTGGCACTAGTCTCCTGGTGACTGTAGCTTGAAGGGCACCCCAGAACGTGACCTTTAAGGTCACATGCGGAGTGAATCAAAATTTCATCAAAGATCTGTCCTTTTATTAGTGAAGGCAATTACAGGTCCTATGAATCTCAGTCTTCAAATGCTATACTATCAAGATGATAGTGTGCGAGTATCATATATGTTGTAACGAAAGTTTTACCAATTCAAATGATGCATACCCCATTGGGTACGTGCATACGAAATGTGTGGTGGGCATACGGTGAGTTTCCACTCTTACTGTCACTAAGAGAAGCAATTTTATCTTTTGTCCTACCCGCCACAGTCCTCGCCAAAACTCATTTAAAAATTCTCCGTATCCTTATTACCCAGTCTGCCGTCAATTCCGCAAATGATCGCAGGGATAGATCTAACATGAGCACTGGCAGCAGCAAGTTTTTGGCATTATAGGGGATCATAACCTATATGACAACAGCCCATCCGAGTAGCTAGGCTCAGCACTCGATGCACTCAAAAGATCAGTCCTTTTGTGAAGATATAATGCAACCTAAGAACCTCCACCATGATGGACTGGCCGCGTTGATTCCCGATGGACGTCCGGCCGCATTCCCCCCTATTGCAATAGTTGGTATGGCGATGAGGCTTCCCGGCGGCATTCGGACGACCGAGGATTTCTGGCAGTTTTTGATAAACAAAAGAGATGGACACTGTGAGGTTCCCAAAACGAGATATGGGATCAATGCTTTTTACAACGCACAGAGCGAGCGATACACGCATACAAGATATGGATACTTTCTGCCTGAAGATCCAGCCTGCTTTGACGCGCCGTTTTTCTCAGTGACTGAACAGGAGGCATCTGCTATGGATCCCCAGCAAAGACTGCTTTTGGAGGTGGTATGGGAGTGTCTAGAAAATGCGGGGGAAACAAACTGGCAAGGCAAAGATATAGGATGTTATGTTGGCGTATTCGGGGAAGACTGGCTAGGTCTCTCTCACCGAGATCCACTCAGTATTGGCAGATCTCATGCACTCGGTACATCAAGCTTTGCCTTGGCCAATACAGTTTCCTATAAGTTTGATTTACGCGGCCCAAGGTAGGTATTAGCATACAAGACTAAACCACGCAAAAGTATACTGACTAACCTCATCTATAGTATGACTATCCAGACAGGGTGCTCATCGTCAATGGTTGGAATCCATGAAGCATGCCAGTCATTGGCTAGCGGAGCATGTTCATCAGCTATTGTTGCGGGTACAAACCTGATCCTCAGCCCAGCAATGACGGCAAGCATGTCCGGTAACATGGTACTGTCAACTAGTGGGATATGTCGGACCTTTGATGCAGAATCTGACGGATATGGACGTGGTGAGGCAATAAATGCTCTTTATCTGAAGCCGCTTGGGGATGCAATCAAGGCAGATGATCCGATCAGAGCAATCATCCGCTCGTCTGCGGCCAATTCTGATGGAGGAACATCAAGCATGTCAGCTCCCTCAATACTAGCCCAGGAACACCTGATATTGGATGCTTATCGGCGGGCAAATATCAAAGATCTATCAGAAACCGCCTTTATCGAATGCCATGGAACGGGTACACGCGCGGGGGATAAAGTCGAGACAACAGCAGTGGCAAACGTGTTTGGAGGAAAGGAGATAATGATTGGAGCAGTATGTAGATAGTATGCTAACATTGTTCAAGATGCTGACTGACCTTCAGGTAAAACCCAATTTGGACATTTAGAAGGTGCATCGGGAATCACAAGCGTGATCAAAGCTGTTCTGTCCCTGGAACATGGGATAATCCCGCCGAATGTACATTTTGAAAAGCCCAACCCCGAGATATCTTTCCAAGAGAATGGTTTGGTGGTCCCAGTAGAGCCTATGGACTGGCCCGCCGGCCGTCGAAGAAGGGTCAGCGTGAATGCCTTCGGCATCGGTGGCACAAATGCCCATGTTATCTTGGACTCTGCGCACGAAGCATGCCTAAATAGTCGGGTACAGGATTCTACTGACCCCGGCAATGAAGTCAAACTTCTTGTTGTCTCGGCCCAACATGAGCAAGTTCTAAAAACTCGCATTGATCAGGTAACAGATTATGTGAATCGTCATCCTGAAAAAACCCAGGACCTTTCATTCACCTTGGGTGTACGGCGAAAACATTTGGCGCACCGCGCGTTTGCTGTGTATGATCCAACGTCTTCCCTTTCACCATCAGACTTTCAGTCAGCTCGTTCCCCCGTATCGGCTCAGTTAACATTCGTGTTTACCGGCCAGGGAGCTCAGTGGCCTGGTATGGGACAAGGGTTAATCAAGGCATATCAAGGCTTTAGAACGGACATGCTAGAGCTAGGAAATATCCTGATGGGCATTGAAGATCCACCTCAATGGTCCCTGATGGGTAACATGTCATCTCCAGCTTAGAGCCATAAGCACATCACACTAATATTGCCTATAGAGGAACTTAGCTGTGCCACAGCGTCGCGCGTCAACGAAGCTGAATTCTGCCAACCACTATGTACCGCGGTACAGATTGGGTTGGTTAACCTGCTTGCGGCGTGGGACATAAGGCCAACCTATGTGGTTGGGCATTCTAGTGGAGAAATAGCAGCGGCTTATGCTGCCGGAGCAATATCGGCTAGATCCGCGATAATTCTTGCATACTATCGCAGAAAGCTAGCACAGGCTCAAAAGGGCACTGGTGAAATGGCAAGCATCGGGCTTGGTAGTGAAAAGGTGTCTCCGTACCTTGTTGATGGGGTTGTGATTGCATGCAAAAATAGCGCGCAGAGCGTCACGATTTCTGGGGAAGAAAGTAAAATTGATCATATTGTGAGGCACATCCGGAATGACCACCCGGATATGTTCTGTAGGAAACTCCAGTTGGGCATGGCATATCATTCACGTGAGTCTTTTCTTTCGCCGGTGCGGGTGGTATTTCTTACATGGTGACAGATCACATGGCGGCTGTGGGACCCATATATGAGAAGTCCATATCGAATCACCTCCAGTTCCATCAGGAAATGCTACCTATGTTTTCAAGTGCTGGGGCGCAGATAGTCACAGACCCTCAAACCTTGGATGCCGCTTACTGGCGACGAAACCTCGAATCCGCCGTACTTTTCTCAGATGCTATCAGTTCCCTTTTTGCTAAAAGGCATGAAAGACATATCCTGGTAGAAATAGGACCGCATTGCGCACTATCAGCACCTATAAAGCAGATTATCCGAGCCCATGACTTGAAAATAAGTCCTGCATATATACCAACTTTGATTCGGAACGACACCAACTGCCAGCGTCAGCTGTTGACTTCAGTTGGTACTATTCATATAAATAGGGTCCTTGTGGACCTACATGCGGTGAATGGAACGGGGCATATTCTGACTGACGTCTTACCATACCCATGGCAGCATGGTAAGAGATACTGGAAAGAAAGCCGTATGGTACGGGAATGGAGGCTTAGTGAGGTGCCGCCTCATGAACTGCTTGGCTCGAGGAGTACCGAGTCCACAAGCCTAGAGCCTTCATGGAGGCATTTTATAAGCCTAGAGAATGTTTCCTGGTTATCGGATCATGATATTCAAGGCAAAGTAATTTTCCCGGCTGCAGCGTATATTGCCATGGCGGGTGAAGCTATCCTACAGCTGTCACCCGGTATCGCTGGTTACACTGTCAGAAACGCCATATTCAAGGTTCCATTGGTGATAGAAGAATCTGAATCCATTGAGGTTATTACAGCTCTACGACCAGTTAAACTGAACGATATGGTGGATTCAGAATGGTTTTCATTCACCATCGCATCGTATGACGGCAGCAATTGGATAAAAAACTGCAGCGGCCAGGTCCGAACAGGAGCCCTGGCGAACATTTCTCCCGTGCATATAAAGCAATATGCACGTCGTGTATCTTCCAGAAAGTGGTACGATACCCTAGCTAGCTTGGGCCTCTCTTATGGAGCTCAGTTTAGAGGTCTACAAGATATCTCAGTTGACCCCCAGGGCAGTAAAGCTGTGGCCAAGGTCAATAATAAGGTAGGCTCCCTTGGATCTCCATACAGCCTTCACCCGACCATGATCGACCAATGCCTTCAACTAATGAGCGTCGCTGGAGCTGCTGGCCTCCCACGACATATTACCACAGGAGGAATACCGGCGTCCATCGATCAGATATTCGTTGGGCAAGGAGGAAACCACATGAAAGCCACGGTCGATACGGTCCAAGATTCTGGTAGCAGCTTGGTGGGTAATGCAACAGCAATGCTTGGGGATAAGGTGGTGTTGGAGATGAGACGCGGCTTCTGCTTCGCGCTGGGAAGGCAGAAAGACTCAATATTTCCGCGGATTCCATTGGTAGCACAGATTCAATGGAAGCCGGACCCTGACTTTTACAAACCCGAAGCTCTATTACCAGGGTCAGTTGCCTCGCCAGAGCGACTGGATCTAACAAGGAGATTAGGTCAACTCTCACTTTTATACACTCTTGAGACAGCCGAAAGGATCAAACACTTGAAGCCACAATCTCCCCATGCGTCCAAGTGGAAATCCTGGCTACTATATGAAGACGCTGCTATTCGAAGTGGAGAACGATCACTTTTTCCCGAGTCTAAGGAATGGGCGACACAATCAAGTAAGGAGCGTCAGGCCCTCATGAAGGAACTGAGTACTGCAGAAGCAGATCATATTATAGTTACTTGTATGGAAGTAATATATGACAATTGCTTAGAGATCATGGCCAACAGAATTTCCGCCCTAGACCTACTGATAGAAAACAACCGACTTAGTCGCATCTACCAGTTTGACCAGCGAAACAGCGACTGGAGCATCTTTATAACTTTTCTCAGTCACTCAAATCCAAGGTTGCGAATCCTTGAAATTGGCGCTGGAACCGGGGGCGCCACAACTGAAGCTTTACGCTTGCTGTGCATATCAGGGGTGCCTATGTACTCTAAATATACATTTACCGATATCTCTCCGGGGTTTATGACAGCAGCCCAGGATAAGTTCCGGGAAAACGCGAACATGGAGTATAGGATTCTCGATATTAGCAGCGATCCTCTCAAGCAGGGTTTTATGGCTCAATCCTTTGATCTCATTATAGCATCAAATGTTTGTCTCCTTTGAGTATAACGAATTGTGCTCCACCTTACCTTATCTAGGCACTCCACACGACCCCAATTCTAAAGCAGACTCTAAAAAATGTGAAAAGCTTGCTGGCTCCACATGGTTGGTTGCTACTCCATGAGTTAGATCCAGGTATTACTTCATGAGAAGCTTCATATGAACACAATCCACTCACATTATAGGCAGTGACACTACCCATCGACTACATAATGGTGAGATGTGTAAATCCAAATTCTAGGTAGTAGAATGTGTTAATTTGTATAGGGCACACTTCCAAGCTGGTGGGTAGGTGAGGATGATGGGAGGATACATACGCCTTATATCAGCCCTGAGAGGTGGGACAAGGAGTTACAATCCGCTGGCTTCACAGGAACTAAAGCAATACGCCACGATATCGATCCTTATCACATATGCGTAGATTTGATCACTCGTCCTGTTCCATTTACGACCGCCACACAACCGATAATACTGGTGACTGATGGCTCGCCGGATCTTTGGGCTAGCATGGTGTACTCAGCGCTCGCGAACCAGAATTTCACTGTGGAATGGGGGAGCTTGGAGGAGGCACCAAATGGTCATGTGTGTGTTGTGTTCTTGTTAGACCAGCAATATCCCTTTCTCATGAAACTGTCCGAAAAGAGATACCATGCTTTGCAAAAGTATTTGATGGACATTGATCAGTCCAAGTTGCTTTGGGTGACAAAGACGACCCAATTCAACTGTGAAGACCCGGGCTTTGGCCTAATACTAGGGTTCGCCCGGACCCTGAGGAAAGAAATGATGCTTGATTTTCACACCCTGGAAATCGACATATTTGATACTGAGTCTGCGAAGGCAGTGGGTCCGATTGTGCGAAAGATCTTGGAACCCGCTGATGAAGATAATCAAGACCCAAACCATGAGTTTGCCTACCACAACCACACTGTGTTCACTAGTCAGTGCTACTGGGGCACAGCAGCAGAAGTTTTGCGCCCATTGCAATCAGACTGTTCCAAGAAGCTCAGTATGGAAATCCCTGGCCTCCTCGATACACTGAAATGGGTCGACACTAGTTACGGTAGCCTGGAGCGAGACGATGTCGAAATTGATATTCATTATATTGGCTTGAACTTCAAGGTTGCCGGACTAAATCCTGCAATATTGGCGGAGCCTGTGACGCTAACTTGTTTTAGGATATCATGGTAGCTATGGGATTTGTTGGAAGCATAGGTGAGATGGGCTTGGAGGGGAGTGGCGTTGTACGACGCGTTGGTTCGAATGTTAGCAATATAATGCCCGGGGACGAGATACTGATACATGATGTTGGACTCCTGTGCACCCGAACTATCGTGAATCAACAACACTGCCTGAAATTGCCGAAGAGACTCTCTACACAGGATGCAGTCAATATGGCATCGGTGTTTGTGACAGCGATATACTCTTTAATCAACGTAGGACAACTTAAAAAGGCCCAAGTATGCAGCGATCCCACGGGGTATTCACCATTGACTTACTGTTAGACAGACTGTTTTGATCCATTCCGCCTGCGGTGGAGTTGGCCAGGCAGCTATCCAAATTTGTCAGCTTGTCGGTGTCGAAAAGGTAGATCATGGGCACGACGTTCAGAATCATCATCTGGCTAACAAACGTAGATATTCGCAACAGTGGGTAGCCAAGCAAAAAAAGACCACCTCGTTAAAATTTACGGGATACCGCCCGATCAAATTTTCGATTCTAGAAGTGCGAGCTTTTCCCCGTGTGTCATGAAGGCAACAGAGGGACGCGGGGTGGACATTGTACTAAACTCATTATATGGAGAGCTATTACATGCTTCATGGGAATGCGTTGCCAGCTTTGGTAGGTTGGTCGAGCTAGGCAAACGCGACCTTTTAACCAATGGGACATTGAGCCTGAAACCATTCACGAAGAACCGAGCATTTTTCGGCGTTGATCTGCTTGACTTGAGCGAAGAGTCTTTTAACAGGCGAGCCTCCCACGACAAGGAACTCTTTGCTGGCAACGCTAACTTATCTACAGTCTTCTCTCCCAGTTCATTCTGTGGTATGAAGAAGGCAAAATTAAACCAATTCGTCCAACTACAGTTTTTGCCGCCTCTAAGGTAATTGAGGCATTCCGATTTATGCAGCAGGGTACACACATGGGAAAGATTTTAATAAAGATGCCTGATGACTCAGGTCAGCTATCACAGCGACCTAGCGAGGTGGAAGTGTCGTTTCCATCCAGTGCATCGTATCTCCTAGTAGGCGGCCTTGGAGGCTTGGGTCGTGCAGTTTCCAGATGGATGGTAGAGCAAGGAGCACGTTATTTAGTTTATCTTTCTCGCACCGCAGACTCCAGTGAAGAGAACAGAGAATTCATCAAGGAATTAAACGCCATGGGATGCCATGTTGAATGCATTCAAGGGAGTGTGACAAGAATGGAAGATGTGCAGGCTGCGATTTCCAGATGCAAGAGTCCGTTGAAAGGTGTTTTCCAAATGTCGATATCTTTGAATGTAAGGCACTGCTACCATATTATGCAAAACGCTGAGGAGGAGAATACTAACTGATAACGTCCTCAACCAGGATCGTCCATTTCCTCATATGAGCTACGAAGACTGGCATTCTTCGTTGTACCCCAAGGTTCAAGGCACATGGAACCTTCACAATTCAGTCTTACAAGAGGATCTAGATTTCTTTGTTCTATTCAGTTCTGTAGTGGGCGTTTGCGGAAATGCGAGCCAGGCCAATTATGCAGCTGCGAACACATTCCTTGATGGCTTTACACAGTATCGCCGACAATTAGGCCTTCCATCCTCCGTCATTGCCCTCGGCGCTGTAGGCGAGACTGGTCGGCTTGCTCAAGATGCGAAAGTCCTGCAGACGACGAAATCCTTAGGTTTCTGGCTTTTGACTGAGGACGAAGTTCTCAGAGGATTAAAGCAGTGCATTGGGGAGTTCAACAGAGCCAATTTCACAAAGTCTGACACACGACTTTCGGCACCGTTGATTGTTGGACTCGGCACCACAAAGCCGCTATCCAATCCTGGTGCACAGACAGTGTGGCGTCGCGATGCTCGGTTCGCATCCTACGCGAACATCGATTCTACATTTGTCAAACAAGAGAGTGGTGCCAGTGTTAATAAACTACGAGAACTGATCAACAGAGCGGTGGTAGATCCTTCGATCCTTCTACAAGAAGAAACCGAGACGACTATTGCCCAGGAACTTATGCAGTTGATTACGAAGGGCCTGCCAGGAGCGCATGATATGGATGATGGAGCGAAATTAAATCTCGCTATAGATTCTCTCATGGCCATAGAGTTGAGGAATTGGATTCGACGGAACTTGCAGGTCGAGGTTGGTTTGCCTGAAATCTCGAAGGCGCGCACAGCCCGAGGCCTGATAGACGTGATCGCTGCACGTTTGAAAGTCCGATTTGGAGTTTCAGATACAGAGGAGCCACAAAACGCAGTCGCCGAAGCTTCTCTCGACTTGAATTGATTACGTTGAGTCTGCCCGGTGAGATCTGCAATAGGGTTTGGTTTGGTTTGGTTTGGTTGATTAAAGGATATGTCAGTCTAGGTGTCTCGACAGGAGCAGATTTCATAACTCCCTCAAGGATATTATTTGTTTTGGTTTGGTTTCCCATCAAAGACTCAGAAAAGCAAGGTCGGACATACATGCCCCGAAGGATGTCATAATATGCATCCCGCATCGGACGGAGGAGAAAACGCACGGATTCCCGGTCCGACTCTGACGTGGTTAATGGTCAACGGCTAAACTTCGGCGAAATGGGGGCTATGTGGAACTCCGAAATAGCCTGTTCTGACTAAAAGGCTTATTGACCTGCTCGGATAATAAACCGTCTTGTTCCGCTCGATGATGTGCATACTGTGTAGTAGTAGCTTCACCGGTGGCCTGATGGTGACATAGAATCACTAGTTATGCTTTCTTGGCTTATGTTGTCTCCAGAATGTTAGAGTTGGCAAATGCTTAAATGCCTATCTTATCTGATATTCAGGCACTCGACATGGATAGACTGTTCGCATGCTCATCTACATCCCTAAACGGGCATGTTCATATATGTATGGATGGCGATCGATAGAAAGAACACGGGACAATCTCTGGGTGGTGAAGCTGGTTATGAATGGATAAATGCTTCTGATATGCGGAGAAATACTCCCGTGATCGTCATCCGTTGGGGTCCTTTGCTCCGTGTGGGGGATCTTCACCAATACTTTCCTTCTACGTTTCATTGCATTGGTCCCGTCTCACAGCATTCTTGAACCACCAGCTGGCTGTAAGTACCTTCGGGCGTTCTGGCACTCTTCTGATTTGGTCGTTAATGGTGCTTTGACCAGCAGGGACTATTGTGGCTAGTTTGTTTGTATACAGCTCCACGATTCTACCTGATGTTAGATGAAATCGTATGGACTCCACTTTCGGCTAAGGACTCTATTGGACCACTTCCTACTCTATACATCATTGACGCAAGGTGTCGGACATTTTAATTAACGAAAGCCGGTTATTTATATTATTTTATCCTTCGAACCGTACTTATAATCGTGCAATTGCCCCCGAAATGTGCGAAGTCTGCTGTAAGCTCTCACTGGGGTTCTTCTGCAGCACGACACCATGAAGCTTCTATCTGTTGGTGCTGTTGCCTTGCTGGCAGCACAAGCAGCGGGTGCTTCCATCAAGCATCGTCTTAGTGGCTTCACAATTCTGGAACATCCGGATCCGGCGAAACGAGACTTGTTGCAAGACATTGTATGTCGTCATCAAATCTCAATCACTGGTGATTATGTAAACCTACTGACTCTCTGCAGGTTACATGGGATGACAAATCTCTGTTCATCAATGGAGAGAGGATTATGCTATTCAGTGGAGAAGTGCACCCATTCAGGTACACTACCCCCGCGTACTTCGATGGTTCAATCCTAACAGAAACAGATTGCCAGTACCTTCACTTTGGCTCGACCTTTTCCAGAAAATCAAGGCTCTTGGTTTCAATTGTGTATCCTTCTATATTGACTGGGCCCTTCTAGAGGGAAAGCCTGGCGACTACAGAGCAGAGGGCATTTTTGCTTTGGAACCCTTCTTTGATGCAGCCAAGGAAGCAGGCATTTATCTGATCGCTCGTCCCGGTCCGTACATCAATGCCGAGTCCTCAGGTGGCGGTTTTCCTGGATGGTTGCAGAGGGTCAATGGCACTCTTCGCTCGTCTGATAAGCCATTCCTTGAAGCTACTGATAAGTATGGGTTCATTGACAGTTACTGCGGACACTTGCTTACAGTTTGGCTTTTAGCTATATCGCCAATGCCGCTGCTGCCGTGGCGAAGGCTCAAATCACGAATGGAGGGCCAGTAATTCTCTACCAGCCCGAGAACGAATACAGCGGTGGCTGCTGCGGTGTCACTTATCCTGATGGGGACTACATGCAATATGTCATGGATCAGGCTCGGAACGCTGACATTGTTGTACCTCTCATCAGCAACGATGCCTCCCCATCTGGACACAATGCTCCTGGAAGTGGAGTGGGCGCTGTTGATATTTATGGTCACGATAGCTATCCGTAAGTTATCCTGCATATGCGCTCTCTTCTTTTAGAGAATTGCCGTCTGACGAAAACTGACAATTTCCCCAGGCTCGGCTTTGACTGTGTATGTTCTTTTCTGCGAGCAAGGTTGAATACTTCTGACGTATATAGGCAAACCCATCCGTATGGCCCGAGGGTAAGCTGCCCGAGAATTTCCGCACGCTCCATCTCGAGCAGAGCCCATCAACCCCGTACTCAATTCTTGAGGTAAGTTACTACTCAGCCTGGAGGACTAGTAATGTGTCTCACTGTTCTCTAGTTCCAAGCTGGCGCTTTCGACCCGTGGGGTGGACCCGGTTTTGAAAACTGCTATGCGCTCGTTAACCATGAATTCTCAAGGGTTTTCTATAGAAACGACTTGAGTTTCGGAGTTTCTACCTTTAACTTGTACATGGTATGGCCTATTCATATCTTTGAAGTATACCTTGGGCTCACATATATAGATTTTCGGTGGAACAAACTGGGGTAACCTCGGACATCCCGGAGGTTATACATCCTACGACTACGGCTCACCTATAACTGAAACTCGAAATGTTACACGGGAGAAGTACAGCGACATAAAGATTCTCAGCAACTTTGTCAAAGTATCGCCATCCTATCTCACCGCTACTCCCAGAAACCTGACTACCGGTGTCTACACAGACACCTCCGACCTGACTGTCACCCCTCTAATTGGTGATCGTCCAGGCTCGTTCTTTGTGGTCAGACATACGGACTATTCCAGCCAAGAGTCAACATCGTACAAGCTTAAACTTCCTACCAGTGCTGGTAACCTGACCATCCCCCAGCTGGAGGGTACTCTAAGTCTGAACGGACGCGACTCGAAGATTCACGTTGTTGATTATAATGTGTCTGGAACGAACATTATTTATTCGACAGCTGAAGTCTTCACCTGGAAGAAGTTTGACGATAGCAAGGTCCTAGTTGTATACGGCGGACCGAAGGAACACCATGAACTGGCCATTGCCTCCAAGTCAAATGCGACCATCATTGAAGGTTCAGACTCTGGAATAGTCTCAAAGAGGAAGGGTAGCTCTGTTATCATCAGCTGGGATGTCTCATCTACTCGTCGCATCGTTCAAGTCGGTGACTTGAGGGTGTTCCTGCTTGGTAAGTAAATTCCTGCTAAACTCGCGAACACGACTAATACGTCGACAGATAGGAACTCTGCCTATAACTACTGGGTCCCCGAACTTCCCACGGAAGGTACATCTCCCGGTTTCAGCACTTCAAAGACGACCGCCTCATCCATAATTGTGAAGGCCGGCTACCTCCTCCGAGGTGCTCACCTGGATGGTGCTGATCTTCATCTTACTGCCGATTTCAATGCCACCACTCCGATCGAAGTGATCGGTGCTCCGACAAGCGCTAAGAACCTGTTCGTGAATGGCGAAAAGGCTAGCCACAAAGTCGACAAGAACGGCATTTGGAGCAGTGAGGTCAAGTACGCGGCTCCGGAAATCAACCTCCCCAGTTTGAAGGATTTGGACTGGAAATATCTAGACACACTTCCCGAAATTAAGTCCTCCTATGATGACTCTGCTTGGGTTTCTGCGGACCTTCCAAAGACAAAGAACACCCACCGTCCTCTTGACACACCAACATCGCTATACTCTTCTGACTATGGCTTCCACACTGGCTACCTGATCTACAGGGGACACTTCGTTGCCAATGGCAAGGAAACCGAATTGTTCATTCGCACACAAGGTGGTAGCGCATTCGGAAGCTCTGTATGGCTAAACGAGACGTATCTGGGCTCTTGGGCTGGTGCCGATTATGCTATGGACGGTAACTCTACCTACAAGCTGTCCCAGCTGGAGTCGGGCAAGAATTACGTTATCACCGTGGTTATTGACAACCTGGGCCTCGACGAGAATTGGACGGTTGGCGAGGAAACCATGAAGAATCCTCGTGGTATTCTTAACTATAAGCTGAGCGGACAGGATGCCAGCGCAATCACCTGGAAGCTCACTGGTAACCTCGGAGGAGAAGACTACCAGGATAAGGTTAGAGGACCTCTCAACGAAGGTGGACTGTACGCAGAGCGCCAGGGCTTCCATCAGCCCCAGCCTCCAAGCGACTCTTGGGAGTCGGGTAGTCCCCTTGAAGGTCTGTCCAAGCCAGGTATCGGATTCTACACTGCCCAGTTCGATCTCGATCTCCCGAAGGGCTGGGATGTGCCGCTGTACTTCAACTTTGGTAACAACACCCAGGCAGCTCGGGCCCAGCTGTATGTCAACGGTTACCAGTATGGCAAGTTCACTGGCAACGTTGGACCACAGACGAGCTTCCCTGTTCCCGAAGGTATCCTGAACTACCGCGGAACCAACTATTTGGCACTGAGTCTTTGGGCATTGGAGTCGGACGGTGCTAAGCTGGGTAGCTTCGAACTGTCCTACACCACCCCAGTGCTGACTGGATACGGCGACGTTGAGGCGCCTGAGCAGCCCAAGTATGAGCAGCGGAAGGGAGCATACTAATCTTGCTTCCAAAGTAGTGGCTATGAGTGATTGAAGGCAGTCCTTTAGTTATACAGACTACCTCTATAGCTATAATTGCAATGAAATACCATACTCTTCGATTAAGTCTGAGAATCCGATCTAAAATAGTAATAGAATTGTAGAATTCCTGAGACAAAGAAACTTACTCCCGCTGTAACCATATGAACAAATACCAACACCTTCTCACAGTGTCTTAAATTTTAATGTCTCTATGAACGATAGCGCCATATTGGTGTGCGGACATGCCGGCATTCCTTGCGGAGAAGGTAAAGGATAAAGAAGCGCGTATGAGAACCAGGTACAAGATGCATTTGCTGTCATCAATGAAGAAACTGGGTATAAAAGTAAGGTGCTATGAGGCATTCTTCCTCCTTTGTCATCCCATAAATTGACTCCGTGCCCTGAAGGACAGCGCCTATTATCAATATACACAACCCCAGTAGAAACATAATCCAAAGAACTTATAGTTAAACAATCATAAAAACCTAAATATATATTCCAATTCCTTCTCATTAAAGTTAACTACATAATATTTAGTAAACTCGCCATCCTACAGTGAAATTGAAGAAAACCCACAACCTCCGACTAGAACGGTAACTATAGATGTTATACGTGGACCGACCCAGCCCTAACCCGTCTCCTGCATGGGGACGTTTCTTCCCAGCCACCAATAATTCCGGTCCAGACCCTCATCACTTCGCAACCCTTCCAAGTCGAATTTAATTCTCTCTTTTCCATCTGTCATACATTACTTCATTCTTCCCTACCTCTCCATTCCAGGACCTTATTACGCAAATATATCTCAAGACACAAGAAGCCCATGTCGCGCATATCATACTAAAATCTCCACATTCAAAACCTCCACATTAATCAATCTTATCGCAATCTCCGAGATAATCCCCGACCAATACTCCAACCAAGAAATAATAAATAACAACCACCACAAGTTACAACCACAAACCAACCTAAACCCCTCCAAAAAATCAAACCCAAAAAAGACAAGAAATGCCCCCAATTCCCACCCTCCAACAACAACAACAACAACAACAACAACAACAACAACAACAACAACAACAACAACAACACTACCATCAAGACCAAGACCAAGACCTAGACCTCACCAACCCCGACAACAACAGCAACAGCAACAACAACAACAACAAGAACAACAACAACCTAACAAAACGCCTCACGCCCATCCCCCTAGGCCCAGCCTACAACACAATCTCCATCCCCGCCTCCTATGGCCGCCTCGACACCTCTCCCTCGCCGGGCACAGTAGCCGGAATAATCCTCGGCAGCGTCTTCGGCTTCGTCTTCCTCCTCTACCTCCTCTGGCTTGGCCTAAGCTCTGGCCGGCGCTTCGGCAGCGAAACGCAGACGGAGATGGCGTCGGCGAGTAGCGCGGGTGGTATGCGGCGGAGACGGGGGAGACGGATTGTGGTTGAGGAGGAGAGGCCGGCGAGTGCCCATAGCCATGGACATGGGGATCATATTATTGTGGAGGAGAGTGTGACGAGTGCGCCGAGTCGGTCGGAGGGGGATGTTATTGAGGTTTTTGAGGAGGCTAGTAGTGTGGATCGGCCACCGAGACGGGGGAAGCATAATGGTGGTGGTAGTGGGTGGAGGAGGGGGGATTTGGAGGGGAGTGAGTTTAGTTCTAGGATTTGATGTTGGGGTTTGCCTATTCTTATTCTTGTTTGTTGTTTGTTGCTTATTGGGGGGGAGTGGATGGGGAGTGGATGGATTGATGATTGATACCCTTTTTTTCTTTGTTCTTTTTTTTTTTTTTTTTTTTTTTTTATGATTGATGTGGTTCAAGTTGAACACCATGATTATGTATGATCATGACCATAACCATGACCATGATATAATATAGCATACGCATAAGTAATATATCACGATAACGATAGCGAATACCAACAAGTGATGTGATTAACCACCGACCATCAAATGCGACAGACACCCATTCAAAGTCGAACAAGCAAGTAAGACAAACCCGTACACCATGAACGAAACCAACTCCTTTCCGGCGCCAAAAAACGAAAGGAACCCGGTCAAAACCGCAGTAGCGTATAAAAACGAAGGGCAAAGGCGCAATCTAAAACAGAATATCCAAGCAACAACAGCAGGCCAGCGCAGCCATGATACCGGCGCAAATACCACCGCCCGAGGATCCACCACCGCCGCGGTCATCGGCGTAGTACCCCTGCTGCGGGTACCCTTGCTGCGGCGGGTAGTACATGGGTTGTTGGCCCTGGGGCGGCGGAGAGCCGTAGTAGCCCTGCTGTGGGGGTGGACCGTAGTTCTGAGGAGGGTATCCGCCTTGGTTGTAGTAGTCTCCCTGGGCTCCCTGGGCGCCTTGGGGAGGGTAGTAAGGCCCTGCGTCGTGGACGGGCGCGGGATAGGAGGGAGGTGGTCCGTCCTGTTGCGCGTTTGTTAGTGCTCTGTGGCTTGATGGGAATGGAGAGTGGAGAGGTTACGTACGGGCTTGTTGTAGGACATTTTGGCGGGTTATAGGAGGTGGTTGAGGAGTGGTGAGAGTGTTGTGGAGGAGACCTTTGGAGTCGATGCGGTCTGGCGGTAGATGGTTTTAGGGTGCGGGTGGCTTAACTCCGGTATTGCGAGTGGCTGGGTTGCCCTAGATATCTGGTCCGAGAGGACAACGCGGGGACCGAGGAGGAGGAACAAAGGAAGGAAGAGAAAGAGGGGATCGGAGGAGGAAGTGCCGAGAAGAAAAAAAAGGGATTGAAATGAGTTGACTGGATTTAAATTGGATTTGAAAGAACCAAGACCCTTGGCACAGGATGTCCCGTTTAGGCAACATCAAATCTAGCCCGGGCCAACCGTTCAACCCGTTCAACCCGTTCAACCCGTTCAACCTTGACGTGACTGACATTTGGCCTGCACCGCCACACTGGCATGTCATTCCACTTGCCGGTCCGTCGAAACCTCGGCCGGCAGCTGAATAATGTCCCGATTTATGGCAGGTGATGCGGCTGGACACACCATGATTGGTCTAATCTTATACTTGCTACGCACTCCTTGACGCGGTCAAAAGATACTATGGCATTGGATGCTTACACCAAAAGTCAATTGAATACGGTAGATTCGGTTCATATGGATAGCAAAACCCGCAACGGCGTCCCCAATCGCTCAGATCGTTTCCTCACAAGCTCTGAAATCAACGCTAAATCTCATCATCCTGCTCTGCAGACTTTTGGGGAGGGAAGAGGGGAGGGGAAGAGGGGAAGAAAGGAAGAGGGGAGAGAGAAGGAGTCCTGCCATAGCAAGATGGAACAAGACAAGACGAGAAATCAAACAGTGTAGTAAATATGGATTACAAGAAAGGAATAACAGCCAAAAGGAGAATTAAGCCCCCTCCGACCGGTGTGCAAGATTCCCGCGCGGCGAAAGAAAAAGGGAGGATCTGCAAAAGCAAAGAGTTATCGATAAGATGCACAGAACTAACCAAAAACAAATGAAATATAAATGCTAAATCTCCGCTTGGGGTCTAAAGCGTCAATCCGCTGATGCAAGAACATGCAAAGTTGCATAAGTCTATCCGGGGCGCGTCAACTTAAGCCGTCTCCTCGAGGGAGGCCTTCTGGAGCTCGTCGGACACATCGGCGGCGGCGTCCTTCTCCTGCTTCAGCTCGGCCTCGGCCGAGACCTTACCGTTAACACCACTGTTGATGATAGCGGGCTTCTTGGCGGCGTCAGTCGCACGGTCGTCGGCCTGAGAGGCCTCCTCCTCCAAGCGGGCAATTTCCTCTTGGGCCTTCTTGATGTTCTATGGGAATGATTAGTCGTTGTAGCTCACACGAGAGTGAATTATAGTAAAGCGGTACATACCTCCTCGGTCTTCGAAGCCTGGTTCTTCTTCCACTCAGTGATCTTAGCGGCCAGCTTCTCGACAACGGCGGGGACGTCGGTCTGGTTCATAGGGGGGTCGATCTTGACCTTGGCGAAGTCCTCGATAATACCAACGTTGAGGTTGAACTTCTCGGCGGGAGCAGCGCTGCCGTTGGTGTTGCTCTTCTTACCCTTCTTGCCCTTCTTGCCGCCAGTGCCGACGAAGTAGTCATCCTCGTCCTTCTTCAGGACCTTCATGCCCTTCATGGCGGAGTCATCGATGGTACGGCCAATCTCAGCACGGAACTGGGAGGACTCGTCCTTCTTGTCATCCAGACCCAGAGCAGCGAAGTCGTAGGAGGGGTTGAAGTGGCGGATAAGACCCTGAGCGGTAAGGATCTCGTCAGTGTAAGCCAGGCGAGAAGCCTCCTCGAGCTTCTTGTCGGCAATCTTCTTCTTCTTCTCGCGCTCGAAAGCGTCCCGCTGGGCCTTCTGCTTCTCCCGGCGGATTCTCCAGGCCTCATCCTCGTACTCCTTGTAGGCCTTGCGGGCCTTGTAGTAGGTGTCCTTGATCTCACGGATAGCAGTCCACTTCTGCTGCTGCTCACCGTGGAGCTTAGTGCGCTCGTCCCGCAGGGCGTTGAGGTTCTTGAAAGCGCCGTCCTGCTCGGCCTTGATGGCATCCAACTCCTTCTGGATCTCAGCGTACTTGTCGCTCAGAGCCTTGGCCTCGGGGTTGTCAAGGGTCTTCTTGAGGGCGGCGATCTGGGCCTTGATATCGTTGATGACCTTCTGGGCCTCGTCCAGACCGGCGAAGTTCTTCCGCTGCTTGCGCAGGCTGGAAACATCGGCAAGGGCTTTCTTCTCATCGACCAAGCGCATGGTACCGGAATCAACCTGCTTCTCGAGGCGCGCAATTTCACGGTCAATCTCCTCGACGCTCTTGAACGACATGCGGGTCTTGGAGTTGTTCTGCTCCGCAATGCGGGCCTTGAGCGTGCTGTCCAGAGCATTGATCTTCTCCTGGGTGCTGGACCGAGATGCCTTGAATCCCGACTGCTTCTGACGGATGGAGGAGAGCTCAGCACGGAGTTCCTGCTGTCTCTTAGCCGCGGGCGAGTCCTTGTTGTTGGGCTTGGCGGTCTCGATCTTGGCCTTGACTTGGTTCTTGATGAAGTTAGTGTCTTGTTACGTCAATTGATTGCGGGAACAGCATAAAGAAGAATGGCAAGAAAACGTATGGCGGACCATAAAGGTTGGTGGGAGCCGAGTAACAAAATAGCAAGATATAATTTGTGCGTTGTATACAACAGGCATTGAAACTCCCAGAGAACTCAAAACGACATAATAAACCGTCACATACCAGTTTCTCCTGAACCGCAGCATGTTCCTTTTCAGCCTGTGCGAGGTCGGCCTTGAACGCCTCCTCATTGGGCTTGGTAGGCTTCGTCTTCTGCTCTGTGGCAGGAGCCGATTTGGCTTCAGCGGACATCTTGTCGGGGAATTTGCAAATACAGGGGGGACACTTGACAATGCAAATAGATTGACCGAAATCAATCTCTAGGAGGGACCCCAAAAGAGCGTGGAATGAGGGGAAACCAAAGAGGAACGGGGGGAGAAGAGGAAAGGAATGGGGCAGAAACTCGTGCTCATTTTCTCGGTCTGGCCTTTTCCTTTGGGGTTAATAAGTTGTTGGCGGCGCTTAACCGTTGCCGCTTAGCGCTGTTCCGCCGATTTTTCGAGAACCTCCCTCTATCGCTTTTCGCAACGCTGCAACTCCAGCCTACTTTTTTTTTTTTGTTGTCCCATCCCACGGCTCACATTGAGCTCAGAGTTGGTCCTCGAATTCTCTGATTTAACTCTTTTCCGACTCGTCTCCTTTTTACTTTAGTTTTGTGTCGCAGCGCAGGTGCGCCTCATTTTTCACCATGGACGAGGACTACTCTTCTGGCTCCGTCGATGCCGACCGCGAGATGACCAGACTTTGGCGCACATGGAGGACGGTGTTCGAAATGCTTCAAGATCGGGTACGTGCTGCTGAAAGAGGGGAACCATCGGCCACAGCCACAACGTTTGTTGCACAATGTATGCTAACAAGCCATTTTCGGACAGGGCTACGAAGTCACCGAAGAGGAAGTGCAAATAACGCTCGAAGAATTCAGACAGAAATATTCCGATCCCCTTGGATACCCAGAGTATGCGACCCCAGACAACGTGCACGTTTTCAACCTCCCAAGAGAAAAGGCCGCTAACAATTCGGCGTAACTTTTGTGCAGCCGCAACAAGATGAAAATCCAAGCTCGCCCCACGGAGGCCATGAACCTCAAATACACGGCCCTCAAGACCAACTCCAACCCGGACCCCCAGCCCGACTGCGGAACCATCTACGTTGAATTCTGCCCCGACTCGACCGGTGTCGGTACCAAGCAAGTGCGCGCCTTCAACCATGTCGTCGACGAGAACAACTTCCACACCGGCGTGTTCATCACCCAGACCCCGATCTCCCCGTCCGCCGTGCGTCTGCTGAGCGGTGTCCCCGGCCGTATCTGCGAGCATTTCCAGGAGCAGGATCTGCTGGTCAACATCACTCGGCACGAGCTGGTCCCGAAGCACGTCCTGCTGAGCCCCGAGGAGAAGTCACGGTTGCTGCAGCGCTACCGTCTGAAGGAGTCTCAGTTGCCCCGTATCCAGGTGTCGGATCCTGTGGCGAGATACTTGGGTCTGCGCAGAGGCCAGGTCGTCAAGATTATTCGCAGGAGTGAAACGGCCGGTCGTTATGCCAGTTACCGCTGGGTTATTTAATCGCGATTTTGACGAGTTTGGCTTGTATGGTTATGCTACATTAACGGACGGCTGTTTGCTTGAGGGAGTTGATCGCGCATTCTTTCCATTCAAAGACGCCAAAAGACCATGTCGAGTTCGCCAAGAGGTTCTTGGACACCTTCCTGAGGCGCGATTTCTCCTGCACTATGGCCGACACCCTGTCTCACCTTTGAAGTGAAGATATAACCGAGTGGATGGAAATCTCGAGAACAAAAGAGACAGAAAACCAGAGAGGGCAAATCACGGGACGAAAAAGAAAAAATCAAACGAAAGTCCAATTGCAGGCATTATGGGCAGCATGGCGTAAGGGCGAAACGAATGATTCATGGCTGGAGTGTACTGTCATGGTTCTGGTTGATTCCTTTGAATTTTTACTAATCGCAAAAACCCCGACTATATTGTACAATTTTCTTGATAGATTACTGAAAAATGCAACGGTCATGAGATCTTCAGTGATCGTAAATAGCCATACCTCTGTCTTAAGTAGAGGATAGCACGGTCCACATTAAGATTTAATTGGGTCAATCCAATGGCCCATTATATAAATATCCATGTTGGCCAAGATACCCCATACCAACGCCATTGTCAATCCTGGCTCCAAACCAAGTATACATAACCATACGGCCCATATTGAACAATAGAAGAAAGGGAACAAAGCAAGGGCGAAGAGAAATCCCCAGAAGAAGAAAAGGAAGCTTATTTATACATCCAACTACCGTTTAGTATATACCGTCATAATTCATGAATGTTTTGATAATAATCCCCCAACATCCTGAAGTTCGACATCGTCCGTTCCCTCAGGAATGGGGGCAGTTACATCGGATTGAGATCGATACGGTGGAGCCGGTGACTCCGGAGTATCACTAAAATGCACGCTGGATCCTCGTCGGCGGCCATAGGAGTTACTACGAAGACCGCCAGGCCGTGGAAGGTTCGGTGAAGCGTTTGGAGTAGTCCCTGAGGTCGGGGCGGAGAGTAGACCGCCAACGTCTTGAAGGAAAGCTGTGCTTCCACTGCGTGCACGGGTCATTTGCCCGGGAGGAGGCATTTGACAATGCATATGTGAAGTCGGAGGGGGACTGCTCCTAGGTGAAGGGTCCAGAAGACCGCCGACGTCGAACATGGAGACTCGGCCGGGTGAGCTCAGGACGGCGTCGCCCGACGCTTTGCGCGGCGTTTTATTGGTTGGAAGATACTCGTGTGGACTCACTTTGATATCAAGACTACCTGTGGTAGAGGATCGGTCGTCGTCGGTAGCAGAGGCATGACGGTTGAAAGACCAGTTTGGATTAAGGGTACCCGTACGGGCTGTTAAGGGCTCACAGGGACCAACCACCGGGGCTGGCCGAGGCAGCTTGTGGTCGGAAGAAACCAGGTCGGGGTGCAAACGCATGCCCAGATCTCCTGCTAGGTCGGAGTCACTGCCCCAGTGGTGGTGCGTGATAGTGGTACGACGAACCGAGCTGTGATCCATGCTCTCGCTAACGGAGGCAGATCCAATTGCCTTTTTGAACTTGGCTTTCTTCACGCCTTTGTCTCGCACGAAGGACCCAATGACGATGGCATTGGAAACCGCCGTGGCAGCGAGGATCTCTAGAGATGCCAGAAGAGATCGGTATTGCTGGGACCCTTTGTGACCGATCACGGAGGGTACGCGGTAGCAGGTTATGCCGACGAGGATCAAGGATAAGGCAAAGAGGATAACGAGTGAGGCTTTGCGTTTCGCAGACATGTGAGTCATCATGATCAGGGGGATAGGAAAGGCCACAAGAAGAAGATCCGTAATCACGTCGCATACTCCCATTGTAATCAGGTTCGCATAGCCGGAGCGACACTGGGGGCCTGGATCCGGAACCACCTGCCAGTAATGGTTGAAAGGCTGGCATTCGGTTAGGGTTGCGAGTACCACGGCAATCAGAGTCGATCCCAAGAAATAATAAATAAATTGGAGAAAGATCCGGAGAGACCGGCGCCATATCATCTCCGAAACTCGTTTGAGAAATTCACATACGGTAAATTTGGCAGTCCAGATGCTTGTTGCAGTCAAAACAGTCAGTCGGCATATTCCATCTTAAAACAAATGCTTAGAAGCAGCCTTACAAAATAGCATAGCAAATTCGAGATACCAGAACCAACCTGCTTCCAACGACCCGATGCTGAATCTCTTCTGTCGTCAACCCTACTATCTTCGTATTGTTGGTCCCCCAGATCAGGATAACATGCACAAGGGCCATACGGATCAAGAGGGGAATAATGGCAAGCATCATCACCTTATCCTCCCGAAAGAAGCGCTCGATACGAACATAGCGACCACAAACTCGAACCACAATGATAGCCAGGGAGAAGCCGGTGGCCCACCAGCTCACCAAGAGCGTTGGATTATCGTCGGCCTTCGTTCGAGCATTCGGGGGAATTTCCGGGTATAGACCACGAGTGTCCAACACAGTCATGGCCGCTGAACCACCTCCGCAGAGGGGTCAGTGGTAAACAGGCGAGAACAGCCCAAGTTATCAAATAATAACGCGCCGTGGATGAGTCCCTGGAGTAAGTTCAACAACGTAGTGCCTTTAGTTGCACTCACATTGTTCATGACGAACTACCCTGAGCATGCACGTGCGTTTCCCCGGATTAGAGTGTTTGCTCAGTGTGGGGAAAGAAGGTATAACGTAAGGAAAACCGGGGAATATAAAAGGCGACGATCTCGTGGGAAAGAATAACGGGTGGAACCGGCGTTTAAATGGGTGGTAACGGTGGGAAAGGAAAGTGATGTTGATCTGGTGGCGTTCCGGGTGGAGAGAGACCTTACTTCGTATAGATTATGGTCGTTGACGGACGAACAAACGAGGGTAATAGGGGAAACGAGTGAGAAAAAAAGAGGGAGACGAGAGATTCAACCGGTAGGTAAGTATAGAGCCTTGCTCTTACGTACCTCCACGTGAAATAAAATTAATATTACAGGGAATAGAAAAGGAAGGATTTCACCGCCGTTTCGGTAGAAGTGATAAAATATATTAACTCAAGGACAGTTATGTCACGAAGTTAGAGAGACAGAGAGAGATGGTTAAATCAGAGGGAAACATCCCATATGCAAACGGAAAGGGGAGACTTCAGCCAAAAAGCAACCCATGAACGGCTATTTAATAAGAAAAACAATCATGATGATAAAATTACACCCATCTCGAGGCCAAGGGTCATGGCGGCCAACCGATAACCATGGATTCAAGAGATAAGACCGAACGGTCGCAGTGGGCGTCGGGAAGCGCCATTTATCGGCCCTCCGTTTGGTTCTAAGAGCAGGACTTGAGGATGGATTAGCTGCGCAGGTCAGCACGGAATAGTATTGGACCAGCCAGAGGGGGGTGATAGAGCAAGGGACCTTAGTCGCTCAGGAGCTGTTTGCGGAGTAAGTTCATTGGCTTCCGCCCGATGGCGATGGCGAAGGCGAAATGAAGCATTGCTTGTGACTCTTGGACTCGAGAAGGAGATTCGAGCTTGGGCCGAGTATCATCCGCCTCTCAAGGGACGAACCTTGTCGAGACCGTGGGCTCGTATATGATCGATGCTGCGGATTATTAGCGACGAATAGAGAGAGAGAGCATCGGAGATAATCCAAGCTGTTACCTTATCAGATAGTCGGGAGGATTTTGAAGGAATTCCATTGGTAGTTGGCAGGCAACCCCGATCAATCCCATACATAAAGAGAGAACATGACTCGTGCAACCAAACTGGTTTGTAAGAGGTTGTTAGGGTAGTATCCATTCTTCGATGGAAGTTACCATTCGGTAGGATAATCCGTACGACAGAAAAAAAAGTCACGTCAGGTGTGCCTGGTCCACGTGGCGGTCTTGTGACATCTTTTCTCTCTCGAAACCACAACAACACAGACCAGCCATATAATCGTAAATAAAATATAAAACACCACTAATTAATACATAATACATACTGGCAAACCTACCCTCCTGCCTTCTTATCAGGACCCCCAGATGAGACGTACCCCCCCTGTTTCATACTACTTGTAGCAGCGAGTACACATGCCCAGGGAGATAACCTTCTGGTGGTGGTTCCATTCGCGCCTCTTACGTATTTGCCGGTCTCTCCGGTCGGAAAATGATGATAAGGAAGGTACTAACGGACAGTGGTATCAAGAAAACCATCCGTTCTATATTGCAAAGATAATGTAAAAGGCTAAGAAAGTCTATCCCGAGAAGTAATAAATCTTGGAAAAAAAAAAAAAAGAAAAAAGAAAAGCAGAAAAAGAAAATTGAAAATGACACGACGGATTCGAGTTCTGATGCGTTTATGCTCTCAACGACTGAACATCTACCCCCCTGAGAAGACCGTCCAGGACTACCCGCAATTCCTGCAGGAACCTAGTGACCTCTGCCTCTGTTCCTACTGTAACCCGCAGGCAACCTTCGCATCCGAGCTCCTTTCCGCGGAACCGTACCACAACGCCGCGTTTTTCCGCCATAGCTTCGTACGCACCTAACGCAATCTTGTTGCTGGGCTTTCCGCCTTCACTGGCGGGCTTATCTAGGAGTTCAACTAGGAGGAAGTTCGACTCCTGCCCGCCAAGGAAGCGACCCACCCCCGGAATCTTGGGCAGTTCCTGCAGCAAGCGTTGGCGCTGAGCAATGATCTGCTCCCGATATTTCTTCATGACAGCCATGTTGTTAGGCGACAGAGCGGCCATAGCAAGTGCGCTAGTTGGGCTCGAGATGTTATAAGGGGCCTTCAGGCTGTTTAGCAGAAGGGCAATGGCAGGGCTAGTGAACGCAACTCCCAGCCGAATACCTGCCAGGCCAAAGGCCTTGCTCAACGTCTGCATAACCACCAGGTTGGGCCAATCGTTGACCCACTCGGCGAGACTAGAGCCTTCGGGTGCAAAGTCGATGTATGCCTCATCCACAACGACCACACCATTCCATGTGGGGTGCTCCAGCACCTTCTGAATGTCGGACTTGCGGATCAAGTTGGCGGTAGGGTTACCTGGCGAGCAGATATACACCATCTTGATTGAGTCATCCGTGGACAGAGTCTCGAGGATCTTGTCCGGCTGCAGTTGGAAACCATTCTCGACATCCAGAGGCACCTTCACGATATCCACGTCATTGACTTGCGCACTAACACCATACATGCCATACGTAGGAGGGCAAGTAAGGATCTTGTCCTTTCCAGGTACGCAGAAACACCTCAACAGAGCATCGATGGCTTCGTCGGAGCCGACTCCAACGAAAAGGTTCTCGGGGGTCAGGTCTTTTTGGCTGTGAATACGGGTATTGCGGAGATTGCAGAAAAGTTGCTTCAACTCAACTTGGTGTCTAGTAATCCATCAATCCGGGTCAGATTGGACTGATTAGAGACCGAAGTATAAGTGAGTCACTTACGGGTCGGGATAGCGGTTCAATCCCAGCAAGTCGATGTCTGGCTTCGAAGAGCCAGTCGAATCTCCATTGACAGTAGATCCTTGCAGAGCGCCTTCCGAGTTTAGGGCAAGACCGGGACCGTACGCGTTTTCGTTGGCATCGAGCAGGACGTTCGTTCCGTCATCTTTGTAGTCACTGACTCATTAGTTTCCATGACGCTGGTGTGGGGATCTGGAGGGCAAACACACTCTCTTGCACAGCGGTAGGGTTGCAATTGCAAGATATTCTTGCGTGCACATTTCGAGAGATCGAACGGTGATTGTCTCGCAGCCATTTTGGTGTGATATTGCTGAAGTGAAGAGGTTCCTTGCAAACCGAAGAAAGACTGGTGGGGGGCTTCCTTTAAGTGGCGGGGGGAGATTATAGGCGGGGCGGGACCGGTCTCGGAAGTGTGACTCTTCAGGAACGGGTAGCTTAAAATACCTTGCGGCAGTCAATGAAATGAACTGACTCAACATACAAGTTTTGTATCTATACTGCTAATGAGCTATAATAATTGCTAGTGAAGGTGTGCTAAATATGTACCGATTCAAACGTTATATATATATATATATATCCAAGTAATGACCTTTGTTTCCTCGAAAAGCTGAAATTTCCTTTTTCGGAGTCCGCTCTATGGTACATGGTTATGGTTTATATTATAGATTAGGGTTACGCAAAACATAGTATTTACTAAAAAATTATCATATTTATCTGTCCAGGCTGTTCTTCGTTTGTACAGATAGTTCAACGATAGGCACCTTCTATTCTTCTTACAAACTTTGTTCAATTCAGGGCAAATGATAAATCTCAACATAAAGCTTATAGCCATAGGTAACCTGACATGACTCCGTATACAGCCGATTGCATGCATAGATGGCCATCACTCAGAGCGCGACATTACGAATTGAGGGCGGAAAGTTAGAAAAAAGTAGAAATAGACAAGTCCTGGAAAGAAATTCAAAGCTTCCCCATGCCTGCGTTGTTCGGGACATTCGACTGAGCCTCGGTGGCAGAGGTGGCGGGCGCAATAGTAAGCCCTGAGAAATCCGAGAAAAAGGAAGTATCTGTGTAAGAAGTAAGGCTGCCGGAGTCGGAAACGGCATTGACTTCGCATGCACGACCAAGAGCCGATTCGCAGTCGCCAGCGGATGATGAGTCCGGTGTGTTGAAAAGACGACCGGCGTAGTCGCCAACAATTGTGGACACACCGACCCAAGCGTTTCCCTCGAAGATTCCCCGAGCAGCTGCCTCGCCGCCCTCCAGCGCATGGCCGTTGTTTTTCTCCCAGACATTGTTTACGGCATGCAAGAGAGTACCTCCACTCAAGGCTGGGCTGCGGCCAGCGGTCATGTAGATATAATTGTTCTGCAGGGTAATCTGGTCAGCCTCACCTACCATCTCAAAGCCCCAGTAGGTGTACCCGTCGCAGCCGGTAGAGTACGTCGTCTCGCCGTTGATGAAGTTGTTTGAGAGAGTAATACGGGTGTTGGTCTCGTATCCGAAGGTGTAGTGTTGCCGTCCAGTGCGAGCCGTCTAGGACGTTTATTAGCAAATACGCTCTCTCGTTCTGTTTCAAAAGGGACATACCGTGACATGATCAATCCAGATAAGGTCAGACCCATCGAAATAGATTGCATCGCCACCCCAGACATACTCAGGGTTCAAGTCGGAAATCTCAATGTTTTGGACAATGATGTTCGACACGCCGTCTCTGAATCTCAGGCCTTTGCCTTTAATAACGCCCTTGTCTCCGTCTCCAAGGATCGTTTTGTCCGACGCAACATCTATCCCCGTCGTTCCAGCCGTGTACCAAGTTGCCTGCGAAGAAGGAGAATCTCCACAGTCGTCCTGGATAATCTTCTGACAGCCGTCTCCGGTTCCCCAGGAAGCACAAACCGTTCCACTAGTCGTGCCCTCCGACTCGGTGAAATCATATTCTTTGTCAAGAACGATCACTCGTGGAGTATCATCGGTAAGCCATTCCTTCAGCTCATCGATATCGCTGGGAATCTGTGCTTCTGCATCACCACCGCCTGTCACCCCGGAAGCGAACCCTTCGGCTGCGCCGGAGACTGATACGGCTACACTCAGCGGTGCTAGTCCCAAGAGGACAGCGGGAATGGTTGATGTGATCTTCATTGAGGCTGGAGAAAATGAAAAGTGGTTTCTCAAAATATATATGTGAATTGACACTTAGAAAAATCCCCAAGGGATCTCGCACTGCTTAAATAACCGTTCATCCATTGTAACTAACCCTCATTTACAACGGACGACCATCGATTCTAATTACCGAAGGTCTTAAGATCGGCTCTTGTCTCTTCGGCACTATGATTTAGCATCATGCCTGAAACAGTTCTGACAACTTCGGATAATTCCACCTACGTCGCCGAACACCTATAAAACACCATTTGCTTCGCACATGCCCGGAAAATAGGCGAACAGACAAAAATAAAGATCAGCGGAGAGCGTTTCCCCTTCGACTTTACATCCGAAATAGTCAAGGGATGGAATCCATTGCAGGTTTGCACCCATCATCTGCGCATTAGTCACTCGGGCCAGTCACCTTGTTAGGCAGAGATCGACAAACTTGCATTCTATCTAAAACAGCAAGAGCCGAGAACCTATACATAATATGTGGGCATGTCTTGGATATGGTGTCGCTTAAGAAACTTGGTAGTCAATATTTTGAAAGAACGGAAATGGGGCTCCGGATAAACTAGATCAGTAGAGTTTCGTTCATATGCGTTCCATTTGATGCAGGATTTGGTACACATTGGGGTCATATATCATTATGCTGTTGTTCATGTTTGCCTGAATATTGAAGATTATTTTACCACCAATGAATGGTATGTACCATGGAGGTCTATATTTGGGCACCTTGTGTCTTGGCCAATGCTGCATTTGTATAACTAGGGAGCAGAACAAGTAGTCGTAGTAGTAGTAAATTTATTCAGCTTTTCGTGGCCGTACTGCTATATATAGCCTTCTGAGCTAGTCTATCTTAAACGTAGTCATCTATGTACATTGTGATGTTTCTTGTCCCAGCTGTCCCTACAGTGTGGCTGAGCCAAGAGCGGCGAAATGGAAAGGGAAGGATGGGAAAACTCGAGCACATATGTCAAACCAACACAACGCCTTGATATGCCTTGTATGATGTCTAGGGCCGCCTGTTGGCAAGCCATGCTTCAGTGAGAGCTATGACACTAATGATAATTATCTATTCCTGCTTTGGCGCTTTCTCTGTCGACTCCTCGCTCGGAGGGCTGGCATGTTTGCCTGAAGTCTTGTACTTATTTTGCTTTTCCCGTAGGTAGCGCCAGGTCCTGCCAATTCCGGAGGTGACTAGACCTTTGGCCGACTGGACAGTGCTGGGCCAGCGAATGGTCTTCGTGATCGAAGCTTGTACTTCCTGCTTCAGGCTATCGTCACTTGCGATACGCTGCTCGAAGGGACCGCCTTGTCTCCGCCGTACTAATGCCTGGTCGGCATCATTGCTTTCCTTCATCATTTTGTTGAAGTCCCCGCGAGGTATTTGGAAGCGGGTTTGATACTGGAAGTACAGCTTCGCTCGGAATGCATCCGGAAGACGGCGGACCATATTACCACGCTTTACTGGGTCCATATCTTGGGTTAGCTTCACATTGGCATTAGGATCATCGATCCAATCGCCTTCGGTGCACCGTTTGTCGTTGAACGTGACATTAGGTAGGGTTTCGATGAGCGGTGCATAGAGCCGCCGGAAGTTGGCCATCTGACCTGAAACAATATTGTTAACCTTACGAGGATCCTCTGCTGGCAATGCCATGCGAAGGTCTCCCATGTAGCTCATTCCTGCAATGGTACTGTAGAGCTGGAACTCCGTGAACTCAGCCGGCAGGAGCAGTAATGCCACTCGGACGGCAGACAGCAGGTTCATTTGGTTTGCTAGCCGAACCTTGGGATGGTCACGCAGAATCTTAACCGGCTTTTGTAACCGCCCCGCAAGGTATAGTGTGTCCCATTGGCTGAGATCACGACATAACGTGTCGAGGTTGACAACGCCATATTTGATCAACGTGCCATTAACGGTGATATACGGGTTGAAGTAAACACCAGCGCCGAACCTATCTTGCGTTTGAGCGACAGCGTAAGACCCTAAAGACCCCAATCCAGAGTAGTGGTCACGATGTTGATGGAGGTTTAATGAATGCCAATGTTGGGAGTACGACACTCCGAAGATAAAATCAATCATCTTACCCTGACCTTGTTGCATGTTCTTGATCGCAGCCGGAGCAGACGGGTGACACTGGCCGGAGCCAGGAGCACTGCCGGACTGGGTGAAGACTCCTGAGCCATAGGCAAATGCATATCGGATTGGTGCTCGGAATTGCCAAAGGATTTGGCGTAAGGCTTCTTTAAACTCTTGGTTGATGAGCATGTGTTGATTGACACCAAAGTCTTTGGAAGGGAGCTCCGAGAATGCATCTATTGCCAGGTTCGCGTTATCTTCCCAGTCACCAGGGTCCGAGAGTCGTGAGCTGGTAGAGAACGACGCTGTAGACGATGAAGGAAGGAGAAGGTCATGCTCGCTGGAAGCAGATTGTGAGTTGAAATCTCCACGAGATATCGTACGGTTTCTAAGCGGATATGTTCCATTTAGAGTAGGGGCCGTAGTAGAATGATGGGAGAACGAGCGCAGAGAATTAGGGACGCAAGTGCATCGCGGAAGAGACGGGTAGATCGGGCGCAGACGCATGAATGAACCCGATCTGGAGTTTAAAAGGAGGGCCTTTGAAGAGATCCATTAGCACTAGCAAATGCGTGCAGACTGGAAGCAAATATTGTCTTACAGTAACTTCGCGCATTGTCGCGGTTCCTGGAAAGGAAAAGAGGGACTTGCACAGCGAGGGCTGTAATTGTTGAATAACTCAATGACCATTGAACGTTACCGATTCACACCATATTTTCCTGAAGGAGAGTTGAAGTAGAGCAAGGGCGGAGGTGAGGAAACAATGGGATCGAACTGCAGATACTTTCCTGCGGGATAATCGCAGATTACCCAATGGCGGCCGGAAGGTCTGACGTACTCGCTCGGGGCTCGCTCGGCAGGTGTTCTCGGCCTTTCGAGATTACCCAGCGACCGCCCGCGCCACACCAGCAAGCCACACACTGCGTCACGTGGTGCCGTATCTCCGCGGGCGCGTTCCGGTTGCTCGACCCAAACAAGACAGTAAACAGAGGAACTCTCAGTTTTTGTCCGTCCTCCCCCGTGAAATCGAGTACCTTTCGAAGGTTAATCCATATATACTGTGATCCTGGGACCGCGACCACACCTGATGGTCCGCATATCCCGCGACAATGGCCGACGAAATGGAGACATTCGCTGCCCGCCTTGCCAGCTTTGATCTGGTATTGCACCCAGAGAAACGAAGAACATCGAGCGCAAAGGCCGTTAAACCCATTGCTTGGCCTCACCGCAGGCCATCACCCGCCGAGGTATATAGCTTTAACTATCTACATTATTTGTCCATCGGAAAACTGACCCCCGGTTATTGTAGTTGGCGCACGCAGGGTTCTACTACAATCCCTACGAAACAAATCCAGATAACACAACATGCTTTCTGTGTCACAGAGCGCTCGACGGATGGGAGGAGGAAGACAATCCAATCACGGAACATCTTAAGCATGCGAATGATTGCGGCTGGGCCGTTATGATGGATATTCAGCAACACAGCTCAAACCCCGCTGAGATAGAGGATCCCACAAGTGACAAGATACGAGAGGCGAGATTGGCCACCTTTGGCACTTCATGGCCCCATGATGGGAAACGCGGTTGGGTGTGTCAGTCAGAAAAGGTATGATGCCTTGCCGTAACTTCTCCGGACTCAATTTGACGACGGTCCTGTGCCAGATGGTCGACGGAGGATGGTATTTTTGTCCCACTGAAGAGAGCAATGACCTAGCAAGCTGTGCATACTGCAAATTGTCCCTGGACGGGTGGGAACCCAAGGACGATCCCTTGTGAGTGTTTATCGCTCCTTCCTTTTTGTATCATAACTAACCTCTCCAGCGATGAACATTACCGTCGTTCCGCGGACTGTTCGTTTTTCGCCTTTGCTCAACCCTCTGGTAAGAAAGGCAAAGGCTCACGTTCGAAAAAAGCACGTACCTCCAAGGCGTCTCGTCTTTCTACCCAATCAACTGCTTCAGAAGCTATCTCGGAACTTGACGATCTCATGGACCAGAGTACTATCTCCCAGCCAGCTACCAAGGCAAAAGGAACCAAAAAGTCATCCAAGACAAAATCAAAGAATGTGAAGACCAAGAAGGAAGAGGCGGCGGAGACCGATAGCCAGATGGATATTGATACTGCCGACTATAGCCAGCCCGAGCCCCCCAAGACAAAACGAGCCACGCGTGGAAAGAAGAGGACAAGTGACCAAGTAGAAAGAGAAGAAGTCAATTTGGTTGACACGGAACACTTTGAGGAAGCCGAACCACCCACTAAAAAGCGGGCCACAAAGGTGCGAGACAGCACTCAGGGCGACAGCAATCAAAACAATGAAGTCACCGTGGATACACAGCCAGAAGAGAATATCCCAGAGGATGAGCCCAAGAAAGGTCGCGGAACTACGAAAAAGAAAGCATCCTCGAAGAGCCGAAAAGCCTCTAGCGGTTCATCGTCTAAAACCGCTTCAAAATCTCGCGTGCCTAATGACAACGAGCTTGACGCAGCTCTTATGGCCGACTTAGAACAGCCTGAACTTGAAGAGCAGAGTCTGGAGGTCGTGCAGAAGCCACCAAAGAAGTCCAAGCCCAAGAAGAAGCAGAAGACCACCCCAGAGCCGCAGGAGGTGGCCGATCATGCCGATGAGGAAGAGACCCAGACAGGCAAAGCATTGCCTGAAGAGCCTGAAGAGTCTGGCTCTAGGCAAGCAGCTCCAGAGGATAAACCGAGCCATGCCAAATCAACGCGCAAGTCAAGGAGCTCTAACGTTTCCGAGCCAGAGCCGGAGCTTGTCACAGAGAAACTACCGAAGACATGGAAGCGGTCGGGAGCAGATGAAACGTTAAAGGATGAAATGAACTCAAGGGTTCATGAGTCGTTCGTTTCGGTGGAGATCCCAGCTAGAGTTCCTACTCCCGTAAAGCAGCCCAAAGCTGAACCAACCACCAAAAGTGAACCTAACGACAAGGATCTCAAGAAGAAGACTAAACAGAGGACCTCCACGGAAAAAGCCAAGAAATCAAAGAAAACTAGCAAAACAGAGGCTCTTGAGCGCGAAGAAACTCCTGCTCAGCAGGAGTTGGATCCCAAACATAGCCCCCAGGTCTCTTCAACCGGTCATGACGTTCCTGAGCAGAGGAAACCACAAGAGCCGCAAGAACAAGAGGTCGAGCAACCTTCCACACGGCGCAGATCATCCAGAGTGCCTCCAAAAACGGCGGAGAGATATAGCGACATTCCCGAGGAGAAACAATTTGCTAAGACACTTGCGGGATCACGGAGCTCAGATAGCCATAGAATGTCCGACTCTGCCGACCAAGGGAATATCTCGCCTCTTCCTACCTCGAAGAGCACGCCGTCCTTATCTCCGCAGTCCTCCGATGCTGAGAACCAGCCACCATCTCTAAAGCCTTCTGCAACGCGATCCTATGTAGGATCGCCATCCAAACAACAGATAGTACGAATTTCCCTAGCACCCAACACACCTTCGCCATCGAAGCGTAACACCAATGCCGGGGGCCTCCGCACGACCCACCCGTGGAGCCCTATTGATATTGATGAGATCCTCCTCGCTGGGAACAGCGACAAAGAGAATGTTGATTTGAGTTCAGCACTGAATAACGTGAAGGGTGATTTGACAAGTCCAGAGAAAAAGATGTCTGTCGAAGAATGGATTAAATGGCACGCCAAGAACGGGGAGGAGAAGTTGAGGCAAGAATGCGAGAGGCTAGTCGGGCAATTCGAGAGGGAGGGTGCCCGTGCCATGCGGGTATTGGAGGGAATTGAATGCATTGATTGATTTTGGATTTGGGTTAATGGGATTTGGCTGGCTGGGAGGAGTCAAGGCATGGGATATGGGCGTTGGATATTCGTTTTATTGTTCATGACCGGTGCAAAGTATTATTTTCATGCAATTTCGCTAAATAGCAGCGCGATATATGAACGTCTTTTTCTTTGATTTGTTATTCAACCGAAGGACCATAACATGCCCAAATAAAAACCAAAACGCCGAGGGTATACTGCAACTTTTGTCGACCATAAAGCACCCATCCATATACAAGCCAGCTCATCCCAAAACGAACCAACAGAATGCATTCATGCGATAATTCCCAACCGGCCCTCCCAGCTGTCTTCTTCCTGCTTGATTCCATCTCCACCCTTCCGCCGCTTCTCATTCCTCTTCCTCCTCTTCTCCTCTCGTTCCTTAGCCTCCTGCTCCTCCCTCTCCTGAAGCCTAGCCCCGAGATCAAGCTGCCAAGCCCTCCTTTCCTCCTCCTCTCGCACCCGTTTCTGATGCGCAAGCAACCGTAACCGCTGCCGCACATCCTCAACAGTAGCCCTGGTCACTTCGCCGCTCTGCCCCGTCGCAATCAAATGCTGCTTACTATTCAAATGCTCCACAAGCTGCAAGTTATCCTTGAAAGTAAGATCACAGTCCCCACAGTAGAAACCGGCTCCCCGGCCTCTCTTGCCCACCGCCGACCCAGCCGACACAATCGTCGTCTTGCCCACCATCGACGCCACATCTAGTCGCTGTTTTCGAGATGTCGTGGCCTCCAACGAGCTATAGTCGACCGGCGCGTGCCATTTTTTCCCGAGTAGTTTGGCTTCATAGCGCGCTTTGGATTCTTCTTTGCGTTTGCTTTCTTCGTCTGCGGCTTTTTTGGCGTATTCTTCTCGGTCCCAGGTTTTGCGGAAGGCCGTGTCGGATGTCGCTGCGGTTGGTTTGGACATTGTTGTTTTTTTTGGGTATTCTTTTATTTTTTGGGTTTTGGTTGTGAGGGACTTGCGTGAGAGTGAGAAGATTGTGATAGGTGTAGCTAGTATTGAGATGGGTTGGTTTTGCTTGAGATCATGGATGTTAAATGATGGATATGGTATGGCAAAACTATCCAAAGGAAGCAAGCGGTGAGGAGGAGCTATATCATGTGACCTATCTAGTTCTTGGACGACTTTCCAGTTTGGGGATAGCGACGGCATGCCATCATCCAAATGGAGTTTAGCTACTATCTTCCCTACTGTACGAGCTAACCATCTGTACTCCGTACCAGCGCAGATATACAACTTGATCAAGGATAGAACTGTTTTTTCCAGTTGCTATGCCCCTGGATCATGAATACCGGCCGCCTCAACCTCGTTTCTCCAGCTTCTTGCCGATCTGGCTGAACTCATCCCGCCACTTACCAACCCTATCCTCCTGCTCGAATGGATCCTTATTGATCCATTCCAGGTCAATATGTATTTCTTTGGACAGGGTAATAGTTCCCTCAACTGGTTCTCTAAGACCTTCCAGTAGCCCGGGACCAGCTGCCGATGGATCTTTTGGATCGTCCCACACCTTGACCTTATATTTCTTGTCGGGCTGGAAGAAGAAGCATGCCGGCAGCTCACTTTTGGACGCTGGGAAGGGCTGCATCGAAGCTTCGGGAACTTCTGTAAAAGCGAGAATAGCGCCCTTTTCAGCATGTTCTTGACTGAGCGAAGAGGCCAGTTCATCGTCCAGTTTCACATTGCCAGCTGAGAAGGTAGCATTGGGTGCTTGCAGGAGCATGTGTGAGATATGCCATTGCTTCCCAGAACCGTAGAGGTAAAATGGCATATAATCTTCGGGATAGTCGGTTTCTCGGTTGGCCGAGTTGATAGGACGGCTTTTGATCACACGCTTCAATGTCACGGGTGTGGAAGTGCGGACCGGGCCACTAGAGTATTTGTTAGACTTCTGACTGTAGGAAAGATGCTAGAGGTGCGTTGCACTTACCCATGGTGTGTATATATGGTCCCTTTGAAGCTCACACGGCTGCCCCGCTCGCATTCACTCACCACTTGTTGGAGGTCGATCTCTACGGATGATTTGAGGAAGATAGGATCCTCAGGGTTGGATTCCCGGATTTCAATATAGTCTGACTTGGCCTGGCCTTCAAGCTCCACGGCCAGAATGATCTGTTGTCGGTGTTTGCCCAAATGGAACGATGGTTGATAGGCTAAGAAAATCTCGTCCGTCCCCTGCATTACAAACCGGTGGATAGCCGGGCCTCTTGCATTACGCTTGCGGCACAGTCTGACTCCGTCCTCGACTACTGAGCGGAAGTAGTCTACCATCGTACTAATAAAGTCGTTGTCTGTGGGGAATGGACTCATGACAACGTTTCTTAGCACAAAAAGAGGGCGATCGCACTGCGGGAGACCAAGCCTTCTCTTGAACTCCTTGGCACACTTGCCATATAGCTCGTTGGTGAACTCAGTTGAAGTCAGGTAGAATGGGATCTTGGTGGGATCCTGGTCTGGTGAACAAATAGACAGGCGCTCAACGACGTGTCTTGTGAGGTAGTTGGCTTCTTCTATGTCAGTATTCCAGGTTCTGTCCTTGTCATTATAACGCCAGTTGAGTGCAAAGGCGTTGATGTTCAGGTCTGAACCAAGGCCCCGGAGAAGTGTCATGAGCTTTTCCTCTGTGGGTTTGCCTGCATCACGCTCAACAATGTCGCGATTGCTTTTTGGGAGAATTTCTCGACGGATTCGTTCCTTTTCCTCCTCTATTGCTTGCTCGTTGAAGGGGTCCTTCCATTCGGAGGGAAGTTTGTGAAATGGAACGCACATGAAGTAGTCGTCGTCTTTCGTGGTCATGGCGGCCCAGTGAGCAGAGAGCTGGTATGGTTTTTAATGTATTAGCCTTATATGAATTACCGGCTACTTGTGAAAGTAAATACCTACCCTGGTACATGTGAAAGACACCTCACTGAGCAGAGCGCCATATCCTTGGGGATTGAGCCCGATACACTTGTTGGAGAGCCAGGTTGACATGGCTGCCGCACCAGGCTTACTACTTGCTGTCAGTTCCCTGAAAGCTGCAAAGTAAACGAAATTCTGTGAAACATACCTGCCCTCGACACCATAAATTCCCATCCCGGTCTCAGAGCCCTGAGAGAGCACCGGAGCGGTCCAGGTGACCAGATACCTCATTCTTCCATCGCGATACACTAGACTCCCTCCGGGGTACGGAATATAGCCTGCCTTATGTGGATCCACGGTGATTGAATCCGCGTATTTAAGTGCAAGAAGATCTTCTTGAGTTTCCAGCTTCAGGCTCAGGTCTGGAACAAAGCCCTCTGCGCCACCATCAAAACTATCCTCCGGATTGCTCACACTTGGTCCCCGTGGCAGGTCATATAGATTCCGTGGAAGCATTGTCGCAAAGTAGCCCCCCCACGCGGCGTCAGCATGGACGAGGAATGACAGCCCTTTCGACTGGAAGCGCTGACGCATGGCTAAAATAGCACTCAACCGATCAACAGCGCCTTCTTCAGTTGAGCCCATGATAGCCACAACGGCATAAACTGCCTGGCCCTCGTCAAGACACCGTTGGAGGCGTTCTTGAAGCGCGTCGAGGTTAATACGCGCGGCGTCATCGACTTCAATGCCCTCAAACGCATCCGACCCAAGACCAGCAATTGCTGTGGCTGTTAGTGACTCCTAATATTGATGAAGACCAGGTTTGAAATAACTCACCTCCCCCCTTGGGCCAAGAATAGTGTCTAGTATTAGAGAGAAAACACTTAATCGGTTGCTTAACCTCAAATTCTCTTTCCAGGATGTCTTTACCCGTTGACTGTATATTGAAATTCTGCAAGGCAGACTCCACAAACTTGGGCGAGATGCCGAACTGTTCATGCAATTCCTGTGGCAGATCTAGCACCGTCTTTGGTCTGAGATTGAGCAGCTCCCACGTAGACAGATCCACAAACAGCTTCCTTTCACCTTTACAGGTGGTGACCATGAATCTGTCAGCCACAAAGTTCAACGGTCCTTTCTTCCCCATTCCATTTATAACCACGGTCTCACTCATGGCTTTACGAAGAGCCAAAGGATAAAACTTCAGATTCCTAGCCACCCAGATAGACTCAAGATTGGCCACAGTCCCACCACAAGTAACATGGCCCCAACCAGTAGGCACATCCGTCCTCGAAGGATCAATATTATACCCAAACAAATGGCACAGCTGCTCCCCCACCTCCATTTCTGCCACAGTCGTCAGAGGACTAGCCTCCAGCGCAACATTATTAGGATTATAAATCATAGTCATGAAATAACCCAGAAGCGCAGGCATGCTCAGATCAGTGCACATATGAGCCTGATAACGAGGATTCCAAAAGGGAATAGAATGGGAGCCCATCAACTTGGCAGCCTTTTTCACCGCATGAGCGAAGTTCCGTGTAATGCGCTGGAATTCCTCCGAGTTTTGGATGCTGGATGTGATGAATTTCTGGAGCTAGTGAGCTTTGGCCTGGTGCCGTGCATTTGTCCAGGGAGGAAACAAGTACCTGGTCGCCTTCGAATTCGTATTTCTTGCGGGCATCTTCTAGCTCTTGGAGGATCGTGGATATGTTATCCTTGAAGTATCCCATATTCTCGGCCTGTGGCCCTATGAAATAGGAGCTGATGGCTTGGTGGGTGAGGTCACCATGGTCAGACATTGTGACAGTGGCTGCTATCGCGAAGTACACAGGCAGGGCTGGATGACAAGGACGGTGCTGAACCGGTAGAGTGAATTTCCTAGATGGCTGTCCAGTACTTATAATGCTCTTGCGCACCCTCAGCCAACTGATCTGTTCTTTGCAGGCTTTGCATACCCTGCAACCATACGGTGTGGAGAAGTCATGATCAGGTAGCATTAATGATCAGCATCGGGTTTGCTGCAAACGGACCGGCGATCACAGTTCTTGAGGTCCTGAAAAACTCCGGTCAATGCAACCTCTACAATTGCAAAACCCTGGCTACTAACCTAAGACAGTGTACGTGTGAGCCAATAAGAGCGCTTCTCGTTACTTTGCAATACCCCCGTTAGCTGGAAGGCGGAAGGCTGGCTGAGGTCGTTGCAACAACTATCGGGGTTTTTCTGTAGTGTACTGGTGGGAAAATGCTAGCAGGGGAGCTCGTGACGTGTTGATGGCGCTCATACATCCAATCATGTAACAACGTTACATTGCTATATGTTTACTTATGCATAAGATGACTTTTATCACTCCTTACAGTTGCATTGGGATATATGCGGGGATGTGGGGGAGTTCGCATTCTGATAGAATGTCAGTACGGTTGTCTTAATGTGTGGATCTGATGCCCTCGAACACCTACTGACCGACACCCAACTATTCCTCCAAGGTTTTACGTACGGATTATAGAGAAGTCGCTTTGATTAAACTAACCATATACCAGTTTCCCAAAGGAACGTTGTGCTCTTGTTTGTGCTAATGGCAAAGGAAGCAGGGATACACAACACATATGGAATTCAGAAACGGTCCAGTGACCAATTTTCAGAATGGTGAAAAAGCACCGGGGGTCCATACCCTGGAGATGCTAATTGTGCAGAGCTATGATATGACATACCTAGCACTGTGGGGGCGTGGTACAAAAGGTCTCCTTTAAAAACCATTATAAAGCTTCGGATTATTGCAGATCAGCCTTGTCTCTCAGGCAATAAACGAAGTGGATTGGGAGAGGAACTCGGGGCAAATGGAACTGAAAATCTTTAGCTACTCTGTGATTGAATCTTACTAAACAGTGGCAAGCAAACATTTCCTTGATTTCGATGTCGACCAGCTGAGATTTTAGCAAGGGCATGGCTGAATGACAGCTACGCTGCGGGGTTTTTTTACCGGGTTTAGGGAATGTATGTTTATATTCTTTTTCACATATAGACAATGATTCATGAATCCTGCATGCGGGATCATTTCAGCTCTTGGCAGGCTAGGGGCTCGTGCTCCTCATCCACAAGGACATGTATTTAATTCTGCGCCCCTATCCCCATAGCCCGTGTGGAAGACACCTTAAGATAGGTGGCGCAAATTTCGAGTTGCCGTTCATCAGGCATATCATCGAAAAGAAAGTGGCCTAGTCCTTCAAGAGAAAAGATATCGGGAATCGCAACGACAAGATCATTTGTGTTGCTAAGAATAGCCTGGATTGATATCAGTATATATTTAAACAGTACAACCATATACTAAACGAACCAGGCCTATTTTGACAGGGTCCGGAGTGTTCACGAGGACACTGCTCAGGTTTCTGGCATCCTCCGCGAGGGAATCAAGCTTTTGTATAACGTCTGCGCCGCTAATGTCCTGACTCCTGGGCATACACCGGGGCGGAGGCTGCCAAGAGGGCAGTAAGGGCGGAGATCTTGAACCGCATTGTGAGTCAGTTTGTCAAAGTAAAGATACTGGGGAGAGAAGAAGAAGGAGGAGTATGAATGAATGAATGAAGGTGTGGGCCAGATAACAAAGCTCTCATTCATATCGACTATGAATGCAGAACAGCTGCTTTGATGCGTCCGAAATATTCTTCCAATTCATTAGGCTCTCTGGCCCCGATCGTGATTGCAGCCTGGCTGAGACGACTTGACTCGCCATGGACTCAGCCACTCACGATCAGACTACCCTATACGGTTGATCATATGCATCAGCCATGGAGTACTAGCTATAGATACGATATACTTGGGTTAGGGTAAAATATTAGCGCAGCTGTAGGCGTCCTTTTCACTTGGTATGTAGCAGCATGAGAGGCGATCAGCTATAGTAGAAGTTAGAGTGTGTGAAGGCGTTGAAATAATAGGGCCTGCACGCACTTGTCCAAGATGGCGTTGTACGTTTTGCTCCAATGAAGCCGGATCTGGAGATCATAGTTCTCGGAGGTCATTTTGAAAATGAGAAGTGATGGCAACCGTGAGTGCCTCTAATACTGTCGATATTAAGGGAAACACATTATAATACCATGGCAAAATCTCACGTTCAAAGTCCGTCACGCCGTCGTTTCAAGCTGCATAATATCAGCATTGTTCTATTGTACTGGGGTCTGCGTATAGAGTCTGGGGAGCTACTTACCCAGTTACGGGGTATCTGCTTGCCACAGGACTGGACAGTTCTTTTAGCAGGTCTTTTCTTCAGAAAGATATTAGTGAACTGTGTACTGACTGAGAAACTGGGATGGCGCGAGGGGTTGACCATAAGAGCAGAGCTTCCAGTTTGTAGTGGTCCGGTAGTATCACGGTCTCTCTTCAACAGAGATATGTTCGAAGCTGCAGCAGGAAAAGGATGCTCAGAAAGCTCTGGTTGGTATGTTTTCCTGAGTATAATCACTGATACTCCAAAAACCCTAATTGGAGTTGAAAATAATATACCATTTAAATTGCCTAAGGTTTCGGTAAAGCCAAAATCACTTCAATCGTAAAACGCTACAACCTTGGCTCTACCGTACCTGAATTTAGCAGGAAGACATTGCTGTTATTTCTATACTCACGTACTCTAGCTCAATACAAGCTAGCCAAATACAAATCTCACTCCTGAACTCTCGAATGTTGTCATAGCTCGACTGTGGCAGTGCTCCGCCTCCGCCATGCTCGAGAGCCTCGTCTGACGCATCACCGCAACCCTGCCGACGATCATTAGATTTTAAATCTCTAAAACAATCACCAAAGGCTAAAGATAAAAAGCCTCGTATCCCCCCGAAACCTCCACACCACATCCATAAGCTATTTATATACCAGCCACGGTGGTCTGTTTCAACGCGGATTTCATTAGGCAACCAACAACAACCCCGTATCCGCAACCAACCCTAGGTATTTGAACCGCGGATTCCTCACCAAACACCCTCATATCAATACCATCAACAACAACAACACCAACACCAATATCAACATCCAACCTACCCTACAACGAACAATGGGCGAAATCCCACCCCAAAAACCAACCTCCCTCACAGACCTCCCCACAGAACTCCACCTCCACATCTCAAGCTACCTCCCTTACCCAGATGCCCTAGCCCTAAAACACACCTCCCGCCACTTCTACGCCCTCGTCTACACCGGCGTCCACCTCAAAGTCGACTGGCTGGTCGAGCGTTTCGAGCAAAAACTCGAATGTCCCATGGAGAAGTGCTCATTCCGGACCGACGAGGCATTTTGTAATCTGCGCATTCGCCGAATCATGGAGCGCAGACGACGCCATCTGGAGTGTCGGCGGCGGGCTGGGGGGTGTTTGGTGGTTGCGGGGAGGACTTGTCAGGGGGATTTGGTGCCGGCGTGGTTGAAGAGGAAGGGGGGGTTGAGGGGTGTTGTTTTCAGATTTGGGAATGAGGTTTTGGTTCTCGGGATGTTGTTCTTGGGGGTGTATTTGCTTTGGGGGTTGGTTTTTGGGTGAGCTTTCTCTCTTTTTTTTTTTTTTCTTTTCCCTGGGTTGGTTGTTTTGGGTGGAAGGGCTGATCTCTATAGGTGGTTTCTTCTGTGATTGCTTTTCTAGGGTATGGCATGGTTGTGGATATGTTTGCGGATTGGGATGTTGAGGTCTAGGTTCTTCGTCTTGCGGTTCAATCGTGATCCAGATATACGGAGGCTTTGGCTAGGCTTGATTGAGTGCATCGACAACTTGCGACATTTATTTCCTTGTCGGCAACACAGCGATGCATATAATGAGGATACGGACTTGCGTTTACTTTCTTCGGTTCAATTATGACCATGGCACAGATATGTATGTACGAAACTAATGTATAATGATAATTATCTCGGGATGAATCTAGAATTTCGGGAGAAGATGGCTCAGTGTATACAGATCTCAATACTTTCACAATAACAGTACCGGAGTTCGGTTTCCGGGATAAATCAAAATTAGTCCATTTCTACACAACCCCGTTCAGGTCAAGCGAAACATCTAAAGGTTATACTACTAGCTACAGTCTGATGTATATCTTCAATTCTCATTATAACAATCGCCGCCCGTGAACCGGGAGCACCACATATATTTTCAAAAGATGGTATACTGATCAATTGACCCTCCAAACTCCAGCATATCCAAGAAATCCAAATCATCGTGTCCGATCATACACGTCTCCGAATCCGCCAAGATATCTAATTCAGGACCGGGGAGAGTTACCGCGACACGCGGCTCCAGAACTTCATCGATGATCCCCGAAAATATTTTACTGGCGCGGTGAAACAGCTCCTGGTTCACAATACCCGGCCGGGACATTGACTCTAGATGTGAGATGAAAACGCTTAGATGGCGAATCAAGACGGATCGCGAGCCTTGGTAGGGAATTGGTCTACCGGTGCGAGCTTGTTTCTGAAGCGCCTTTATTAGAACAGCCGCACTGGGGAATCCGTACAGAAGGTTCTTTCGGTTTAGTTTTAATTAGCCTAGCTCACAAGTCATCTACAAAGGAGGTACGAACTGTCCATATGAAATCTGGTCGAAGGTCAACCATATCCTCTCGCATGGCGCAGAAATCTAAAACGGTCGACAAAATGGTTGAGCTCACGTCGAGTAAAGCAGAATAGGCCTCGGGGTCCTGCTGAACAAGGAGCCTTTGAATGAGGAAGTCATTGTAAAGGTAAGCTAAGTATGATACAATACGCATCATACAGGTCGTGTTTGACATGTTCTCGTCCCGAGAATCTGGGCTGTAATGCAATTGTTTCGGCAGTGAATCCCAAGTTTGATGACAACGCACGGAGATATCCCTGTTCACCACATAGCCGAATTCTATGAGCCTTGACTAATAGAGGAGGTGGGGGGTATATGCAGTGACTCACCTCAACTTTTCAGCTGTCCTATGGTTTTGTGTCTCTAAAGAGACTTCTAGAATCTCCTCACGAAAGGTAGTGACTAGGAACCGTTGCCGAAGAAAGGTAGATCGGTGAAGTCTGCCTTGAGTATTCCATCCATCGCTGTCCAAGTCCTGCAGTGCTAGCTCAATCTCCGACTGATTAGCCTTCAATAAGCTATCATCGAGATCAAGGGGCAGTCGACAGTCTGAATGTCTTAATGAGATCCTCGGTGGTCTGCCCAGAAATGTTGCAATGCTCTTATCGAGTTGATAAGTCGCTGTAAAGAGCCTCCGGCGAGTCTCGACTAAGAATACCGGGAGAGAGCTTGACTGTTGGGAGTCTCTATGCAGCCCTAGCTCGAATATATGGGTTGACAGGTCACCGAGCCTGCGCCACTTTGCGGAGCCTGTTGCCTGGTAAGTAAGAATTCTATAATATTATGACTACTTCGGGTTTAGTTAGGTGTTTGCTCACTAGCATCGCCATGGGCCACCTTTGACAATAACAGATTTTCATACAGCATCCATATCGTTAGGTCATTGACCGGGGCGATGAGCTTGCAAATCTGTAGCACCGCATCACTAGCCGCTAACATTTTCCGAGAAAACCGCTCACGAGCTGCCATTCCATCGAACTGAGGGAATTTATCATGAGCTAGGCCGAAAATACTGAGTCGGCCAGCTATCGCATAGAAAACCCCTAAGATCTCCAGACGCAAATTAGGTCCGGTAAAAAGCTCATGGAACTGACTTCCTGTCATATCCGATGGTACATGGAGCATATGTTTAGTGTTTTGAAGAACCCGCGCGACTTGTTCTGGTGGGCTTTTATGCAGTTGGGCAGCATCAATCATAGTCTGTATTGAGGGTAGTGCGTTAAGGAGTAGAGATGGTATGACGGCTGCCTTGCTTAGCTTGTAGTATTCGCAGACTAGCTGGCCAATGGTTGGGAAATCTTGCAAACATCGCAGTATCTCTGCTGTCCTCTGTACCCAGTACAAAGGCAAGTCGGACGGGAATGTCGTTGTTGCGTCATCCTGTGACAGTCGATCGCTGGGGCTAGAAACAAATTCGTGATCCTCTTCCAATGCCGCGACAAAGCTGGTCGGACCCAAGTAGCCAGTGGGCAATGAACGAGCAGTGACCAGCATGTTGAACCCATCGTCTAATCGTGACCCCGGCTCTTCAGTATCCGAAAATGTCGAAATCGGCGTGGATACTGGCCTGGCACGCAACTGCCTAGGATCCGAGCCATCTTGCTCCGGAGTTGAAGGAGGAGGAGAATGTATTTGTCCCGCCCCAGATGAGATACCTTTTACAGTGATGGCCTTTGATCTTTGCGTCAACGGTGCTGGATGATAGAAGCAACTGGCAGTCCGGCGTTTCTTCTGACAACGAGAACAGACCGGAAGGCGATGATCACAACGGACTTTTTCCTTCCGGCAGGGTTCGCAGGAAGCGGGTTTTCCATTGCGACGACGTGAGCTCATCTCTTACTTTCTATTTATTACCTGTGCCTACTTTGAATATAACAGTTGAATGAAGCGAAGAAAGCAAGGTTGAAGAGAGGGGGCTGACATGTTACATCGTTTAGGGCTATTCTCGGCGTTCGGAATTCAATCCGTCGGTGTTCGGAGTCTAGCATACAAGGTACATATTAATAGTATGGTCTAATTAGCACTATCTCTTCAAGATTAGTAATCCTAAGGGCCTCTGGCGCAACGGTAGCGCGTTTGACTCCAGATCAAAAGGTTATCCGTTCAAATCGGGTGGGGCTCACACCACTTTTTTTTTTCCTTTTCCTTTTTCTTCTATTCCTTTTCTTTATCTCTCATGGTTATTCCATATAGAGAATAGCAGAGTTATGCCCTATTGACCACTTATTGCTGTTCTACTTAGGGGTTATTTCTGGACCTAGGCGGCGTAATCTATTCTCAGCCGCATGAAGCCCAACAGAGTATCAATGAAGAAATGGTGAGGTATCGCTTCTGTTGTCATCTACGGAGCACCGGCGTAAACAGTAACGGCTTGCTCTGGATCGGACATGGTTAAAGCGGGCAACTGAAATAGATAAACGGACAAGGGGGCGATGTGAGGTTAGAAAATGTATGGCAACGCTAGTCCATACGGGTACCGTTTGGGGAGATATCGAACACGCGAATGGAGACGTGAGATCGGGCCTAATTGGGAGGCTGCTACCAAGCACTAGAAATATAGCGTTAAACCGGCTACCTGCGTGCGATATAACGAGTTTGGGAGACGTCAAAGTTGTGAGCGTTGGGCTTCCCGCTTGAACTTTGATTCCCCCCATGTTGGTCTTTCATCAGCATAGCTTTCTAGGTGAAATGCCCAACAAGTATGGGCTTTCCATAATATTGGTCCTGCCAACCCTTTCTCAGGTTGAGTTCGAAGTTGCTGAGGTCAATATAGCACATCCATACCAAATAAAGCACCTAACGGCTTGTCCTAATATGTTGCGAGTCGAGCTCAAACTACCTAGGCCAATAGGTTTCTAGCGCTTTGTCTCATGAGAAAAGATTAATTCATCTCAACTCTTATACTATTATGCTACACTAACCGAATGGTAACAATATCTTCAAACCTCCTGCTGCCTGCACAACAGAAATACAAATGGTTGATCAAAACTCTACGCATAGGCTGACAAGTAAAAACAGGACATGCAAGAAACCAAATCAATCACAAGGACAGCCCGAGAACAAAGCACTTCTTATAACAGGTGCAATATCCTCGGCTATAATCTCTTGTTTGGAACCCACAAGCTATTGTAAGCGAACCGGTACTTTTGTCAGGAATGTGAGGTTGTTCACCCCTGTCCCATAATGGGTCTGTTATCCTGCACAAGCCCTATTGCGGACCAGTAACACTCGCAATTTAGTAATTCAACCCTGGTTTCTCTGCATATCAGCTGCACCTAGCACCTTAAAAGGTCATAGATATTGTTGCAGTGCAGAAGCTCAGCTGAAAAGATATGACGCCAGGGTGCGTTACCCCTCTTCTTATCATTTGTATAAGGAACTCCCTTGGGGTTATGTACGTTCAAATGCCCCCATGCTTTTTCTTTGACTCTTCGCCTCGAAATTTCTGTGTGGATGCTGAACAGGAAATGTCTTTCATGATTCTTGGGCTCACCATCGGCGTCATAGCCCTATATTTTCTGAGGTCTTTTTTAGTTAAAGCGAAGTCGCTTGCGCCACTCCCCCCTGGTCCCAGACCAAAACCGATCATTGGGAATCTCTGGGATCTTCCATCACAAGGCACCCGGGACTGGTTGCACTGGTTAAAACACAAAGATCTCTATGGTAAATACTCCCAGTATCGGCATATTGCAATTACCCATATACCAAGAAAGAACTCTGGAAAGGTCCAATTAGCTCCGTCACCGTATTTGGCCAAACAATAATCATTCTAAACGAAGCGCGTCTCGCATATGAGCTCTTAGAGAAGCGTTCCGCAATACACTCATCTCGGCCGCCATGCACCTTTGCCCATATGTAAGCATCATCTTTATACTGCACACAAGTTACGTGGCTGATGAAAAAGGGCCGGCTGGGGCGATATCACGACCGTGCTCGAATAC